GTATGTTAGGTTTTGGGTGTGTATCTTTTATCTATATATCTGTTCTATATATAATCTCCTATCCTATCAACGGAGTACATTCCAGAAGTATTTATATGTTATATGGATAAAGTTAGACAGAGACCGTGCTGCATTTTTGCTTACTTTGGTTGCATTTTTCTCTAAAAATGTAGTTAGGTACATTGAAAATAAAAGCTGTACAAATGTTCTTAGAGGGGAGTAGAGTATACTACATTCGATTAATGCACACCTTAAACTCAAATTCAGGTTGGCCGACCCGTAAAAACTGGCGTACTTAAACAACCCTGTATTGATTTTGATCGTTTCTTATTCTAAACAAAATGTCAATGTAAAACATGCTTTCCTGCTGTAATATTAATGCATCGCACTTTAACATTGATGTTCTAGCACTTCGCAAGTACATCGAGAATTTAAGTATATTATTGTCAGGAGAATCTTTGGAGTTTGGATTGAAAAAACTAGTGTTGAAAAAAACTAGTGTTTAAAATCAGTCTTTAAAAATTCAAATCATTTGAGCGTTTTCGACAAATCTTTCCAACTGTAACATGTCGATATAGTGGACTGGTTATATCAGACTTCACTTATCTGTTAATGTTAACGTAGACTGTGCACAGACTGTCTTTATGTCCACGCGTAGGATGCCGCAATCAGGTGGGTAAGTTAATCAACACAATACAATACAGAACTTACGCATGTTGTTGTATTTGCTTTTTTTATTCCATATTTAAGGGAAGAGTCGTGATAGCTCAGAGACTAAGCGCTTGTCGTAAATTTAACCGACGTTTAACCTGGGTTCGATCCCCGCCGACACAAAGTGCTCGACGGTGCAGAAAGACGACGTGAGGAAATCGCATTTCTATGAAATTTTAAGACTTTTTATTACAACACATATTTTCCAGATTCACCGTCAATAATGTCTTCCGAATTTCAGTCACGGCGGCCAGTCTCAACGAAGACTAGCCATCTGCACAAGTTGGGAATATAGTGCCCAAGTGTATGCACAAGCACAGGTGCACTCTATTCCTTTATTCTCATAGTCCGATGGGACTGGAGAGACATCAGGCTACAGGCTGCTAGTGAGAATTTCTTGTAACCACGCAGCCGGCCGCGTGGTATGCTATGAGCATTCTCCACCTCCCTCCCCCGTTACCGGAGGGTTGCCCTTAATTGCTTAAGGCGCAAAAAAAACCAATAAGCAACTTTGGTCTGACTCAGGATTCCAACCCGGGACGTCATGATCAGCAAGCGGATTTACGATCACTAGACCATCAAGGCAGTCACCATCAATATCAGATGCTCATGTGAGAATAGAAATGAAACAATAGAATATGGCATAGTTTTATTTACATAATATGGCATACTGCCCATAAAATAAATTCTTTAAGATTTTATACACACATTATTGTAATATAGGCGCGAATAATGACAAGTTTTGTTACCGCACGCTCATTCAACTGCTTAAGATGTTTAAAACCATCAATATGCAGTAATTTAACTTTTAAATATGAAATCTATAAATAAATTTTAATTATTTAACGATACTTTATTAACAGGAAATTTAAAGACATGTGGCAAGTGCATATCCGCAGTGAGAATCTGACTGGTGGGAATCCAAAATGACTTCGTTTGAATGTTCGATTGGTTTTGTAGTATTGTGTAATATTTCAGTAAGTATGTTTTCCTATTTCAGCAAATCGACGACATAAAGATTCTAAAGATTGTCCCAATGACTTCACATAAAGTTGGTCACCTTAATTTGGCAATATTTATTAACTTCTATTTACAATAGCAAACTTCTTTAGATTAAATAATGTAATGTGGGAAAGTGTCAAAGAGAAGAGCTGTATATTATTTTATTGCTGGTACATACGTAATAGATATATTTTCTACATTTATAAAATTCAATTTTATTGCATTTATAGCAGGTATACCATTACGGATCACTAAAACCGTAACGTGTACAAATTTGTGACGTTAAGTTTATTCTATATTCTGATTGAGTTAATGAAAGAGTCTGAATTTTAATAGGATTAAAATTTTTGAAACAAAAAAACCATGTTGCCACATCGCACAATCACAATTAACAACTTAATTAAATATATAAAATATTTTCTGACGTACAAAAACTGTTTAAATATTAAGTACGATGACGTTGAAGGTAACATGAAACTAGCTTAAAATTTGAATATTAGAGTATAATAGGATTGATTATGGTAAATAACTATTAACCACCAGCAACCAATAAATTGGCAACATAACGATCTTTTTTTTAAACTTAATAAACAATTCATATACAAATTTAAAAAAAAAACATTACAAATTTGACGAAAATTATTTTTTAAACATTTTTAGTAATCATAATAATTTATAAAGAAAAAATAGTAAGATTTATAATATCACAATAAAATCTATTCATATATTGCTTTAGATAATTCAGTATCGCAATATAATAAATATGCGCACGCAGAGACTAGGATCGCGGATATAGATAACTTTACTATTTAACGTTATCTTTGTATTGTGAGCAAAACGTATTTCAAGAAAAATATTTGTCAGAATCTTCTGTACCGTGTTCAATATACACGGTGGAAGAAGTGTTACATTTATTTTTGATAATGTTATTTCAGAGAACAAATAAATGCTATTTTAACTGGGAAAATTATTAATAATAATAATTAGCATCGAACCACGATAGTAAATTCAGCACAGCATTGCGGATACCATAACACCAATCAAGAGATACCGCCATTTTTAAATTATTATTTTATTTATTATAAGGACAAACATAGAAATAAAACATAAATATTTAAAAAACACCTATTTCTTAGTTAATTTTTTTTCAAACCCTACACAACGTATCTAACTGAAGTTAGCGCGCAATACAAAACTAGATGCCAGTATGACTTCCCATTTAGTAGACAGAAAGTATTTTTTACAACAACTTTGGAATAAGCTCAGGATTTATAATGTGTTTGAAGGACAGCATAATCTTAAGACTATTTAAAACACGATCACATGGCATAAGTCGTGCTGGGAATAGAGGTTACTTATTTATTGCTGTCTAACCAAAGTATTTCTTTTATTTACAATAACTTAAAATATTACTTCCGAGTAGGGCTCAACTGTCAAAAAAGTTGACAACCGATCAAGGTCAAATAGTGGGCGAAAGATTACATCAAGATCCAACCACATATAATATAATTCAGTATATTGCAAAACGTAAGTGTAAAAAGTATTTTTGCAATTTTCTATAATATTTTAATTTACTATCCTGTCGTAGGTAGTTTTGTGTTGATATATAAGTTGCAATAAATCTACATCTCAGGTTTAATAATTTATTTTATGTAGTATCATTTTCTTTAATGAAGTGTCTTTAACAACCAAAGCATTAACGACACCGGGACGTCATAATTCATCACAGCTTTGGCCCTCCTACAAACTTTGGAGATATAATCGACATTTAAAAATATTACATATCAAGTAGCATAAGTTCTAACTTATCCATTTTGTAACAACATACAGATTTGGCGCTCTTGGTTTTTAGACACCATTATATTTTCACATTACAGTGACCTAAACCTCCTATTGGGAAATAAACTTCTCTTCATATTCCCTATCGCGTGGTCGCAGTTTCGGGCCTCGGTCCTAGAACAAAGCCCAGTGCTGGGCTACCGTTGGCCTTTCAGCGCCACAAGCTCGTCCAACTGAGCCTTGTAGAGCTGCGTCACGTCTTGCAGGTCTAAGCGCAACTCGGCCAATTGCTCTTCCTTCTCGCCGTACATTTGCAACAACGCGTCATACTGCTCTTGGAGGCTCTGAGGAAACAGTTATATTTGTTACTTTCAATTCATTATTAACACGAATATAAGAAATGGCTTGTGCGCTAGATTTTACGGATATTTACAGGGCGTTATATTTAGGACATCGGATATAGACTTCGTTCCATGTATGATTGCATCGAAGTCTATCTCACAATATATAAATAATATAAAGCAGAATATTTTATATTCCGCTTGTTATTATGTAAACTTTTTACGTAGTAAAGCCACGTCGCAGCTATATTATAGTCCAAGCGCGAATGGATGGGCTCAAGCAGGGAATGACCACGCTTTAACAAACCAGCGTGAAACAGATGCTTGATGGTATGGTGAGTGTAGACTGGGGGCCCTTTTTACTGGAAAAAAGGCATGGTAAGTGGATGTGGGGCCCACAGCATCCACTTACTATTGATTGAGCTGAGCTGGGCTGAGTGCTGATTTATCGCCCTTATTCTACAGAAAAAGTCAATTATTACAACATTTTTTTTCTTCTTAATAGCCCGTGACGGTGCCCTGTTGAACATGAGCCTATTCTTTTGTAAGTAGGACGTGCACTAATCGTTACACTTGACAGGCGGATTAACGATAACACTACCAGACATCTCACATCTTTGGCGCTTCTGTCTAAAAATGGGAGACGAAATATTTTACATTTGGCTTAAGCGCGATAGTTATACCACCATTTATTGGAAGTAATGAGATTTTTTTGGCACTGCAGCGACACCCGCTGGGCGGAATGAGTTGGTGGATTCTTTTATACCAGCATTGGTGAATCTGACTAGTAAGTTATAACCTGTGATCTACTAACACAAGCATTACAATACATATGACGGCTCCAATGTCTGCCTTGTTGGTGTGGTGGTCATAAACGTGACTGCTGATGAAGAGATCGCGGGTTTAAGGTGAGTTCGTAAGTGTGGGTAACGAACATGCACGTACATATGGATGTTCGTGCACGCGTGCGTAAGCTCGTCCGGGCGTGTACGTGTGAGTGCACCTGCTGGTCCGCGAGCTGCTTATGCAGGTGCGTCAGCTGGGAGCGAATGTGTGTATGCATGCGTGCGTGTGTGTGTGTGTGTGTGTGCACCTGCTGGTCCGCGAGCTGCTCGTGCAGGCGCACCAGCTGGGAGCGAATGTGTGTGTGTGTGTGTTTATGCATGCGTGCGTGTGTGTGTGTACGTGTGTGTGTATGCACCTGCTGGTCCGCGAGCTGCTCGTGCAGGCGCGCCAGCTGGGAGCGCAGCGCGGCGCGCTCGGTGCGCAGCGCGGCCAGGCCGGCGGCGGCGGCGCGCAGCTCGCCGTCGCGCCGCGTCAGCGCCGCCAACGCCTCTTCCACGCCGGGCGCCGACACGCCGCCCCCCCATACTCGACATCACTGGAGGGGTGCCTCGCCCGCCCTCCTCCTGCAAAGAGGATTGTTTGACACAGCCGTTAGTAAATAACTATGTCATTTTAATTGTATGATATGTAAGGCAATACTTCCAATATACGTTATAGATATGAACAAATTCTGGCTGCATTTGAAAAGTTTTGGAAGCTCTTTTGCCGAGATAAGTTTATAATCATAAAAATTTCCGAATTCCGAAATTAAAAACTATCCATTCAACTATTCAACAAAAATTTTGTTCGGAAAATCGACAGTATTTAATTTCATTAGAATTTAAACAAATAACCGAAGCTTTTCATGACAAAGAGGAATCTCACTGGTTTCACCACGGCTTTTCACTGAATATATCACTCATCCTCTTACTAAAAAGAATTTCAGCGCAGGGAATTCATGATTAATTGTTGCAGTCGTATGAATTATAATAAAAAAGAGGTGCCGATTAATCATGATTGGCAATTTTTCATCAAGAAGTCAACTATTACCAACTGATGTACCGGAAGGGTCACACTTGGGTCCCTGATTTCTCATATATATTTATAAACGACTTGGCCAGAACATTAATATATCCCTTTGATATTTATCCAGACAATTTAAAATTGTATAATCGTGTCAACATTAAAATGATGTTAAAATTTAAATTTAGAAAATTAATAAATTATACAGCGCTTTTCTGTAAATACTGTTTTTACTGATATTCTGTTGATCAATAAGTTTTTGGAAACGCAATGAAACACAAGGATAGTATTTGTAAATTGTATTTATTTTTCAACGTCATCGCCTTTTAAGCTAATAAACCTTGAATACCGTTTTGCATGTTGGGTTTTAAGTTGGGTCAATTACCTTTGAAAAAAAGATTTGATCCTGGGACTCAAAAAAGGCACACATCACCTCAGCATCGCCGTCGAATTTTATACCACGCAAGTGCTTTTTCAGGTGAGTAAAAATCACTCAGAGCTAGGTTCGAAGAATACGGTTAGCGATGCATCAACTAAAACCCAGCAGTTCGGACGGCAGCGCCTACAACATCAGATTGAGGTGCATCAACTAAAACCCAGCAGTTCGGACGGCAGCGCCTACAACATCAGATTGAGGTGCATCAACTAAAACCCAGCAGTTCGGACGGCAGCGCCTACAACATCAGATTGAGGTGCATCAACTAAAACCCAGCAGTTCGGACGGCAGCGCCTACAACATCAGATTGAGGTGCATCAATAAAACCCAGCAGTCCGGACGGCAGCGCCTACAACATCAGATTGAGGTGCATCAACTAAAACCCAGCAGTTCGGACGGCAGCGCCTACAACATCAGATTGATGGTCAGGGGCATGGACCACTTTTATTCTTTAGTTGTTCGCATTGACCTACTACTAAATGAGCGGGCGGGCGGGCGAACAAAATTCACGGAAAATGTGTCCCGAATCAACCTATATAAGCGTACGTACATGTGTAGAAATATAAAAAACTATAACATCCTAATCCAAACCATATTGTCATTAGCAAACTGCTGAATTTTACTTGCGAAATTTTATCAGCCTATTTAACTTCGACTAGAGGCCGCACTATTTTCACTTTTTGAAGCTTCTAGCGAAAATTACGTTAGATTGTTTTTACAATTAATGTATGAATGAGATACTATGTGTCTAAACAAATTATTACCTTGATTAAAACTACTTTTACGGATTTTATGGCGTTTTATATATTTAATACCCGTATGGTCACGGGGGACTGAGGTGACTGACGTCCCGATGTCAAAGTTAACCCGGAGTACCTTCAGCTTTTTAATTATTGTCTTTGGTCCGATCTACGCAGAAAATATAAGAAATCATTATCAAAATATTACCTTTAAATGGTTAAATATTAATAGTCCTTATCAAAAATATGATACACGTTTGTTATTTTACTTAAGTAATTTTGCACGTATTTACAATTCAGTGCAGCATTTTGGACGTGTTTTAATTTTAAGTTGGTCGACATAACGAAGACTGGCGCGCAATTGGAACTCTTTTACATTTTGGAACTCTTTTGACTCGGACACTTTTGAGCGCGGACTCTGGGTCCATTTAGTAGTAGATGGATGGTTCTTTGCTTAGTTTTTTAATTAATTATGCGTAATAATCTCCCTTTACTTAAATATTCGATCATTAATTATACCTTCTGCACCCCAGAAGACAAAGACCATTATTTTTCCAACGGACGCAGACATCTTGGCTAGCGGGAAAGACAGTTTTTTCACACCTTGCTTTGGTTTTTCGTCTCCGGGTCAAAATATTTCATCTACGGTTACGAAATGAGCGCAAACAGAATCTGATTCTTCTTCAATTATTTCTAAATTTAACTTTGAAATGTCAACTCTTGCTTTCTTTTGGGCGTCTCTTAATTTTCGAGAAATCCACTGACCGGCCACATTTTTAAATCGCCCGGAGCGAGTGTCGTCATTGCAGGCGGTTCTACAGCGTTTAAATTCAGTGCACCAGTATGTCACTGTAGAATAAGACGGAGCATTGTCTGCCAAAGTAAACCGCAATTCTTCAAAAACACTTTTTGTACACACACGCACGAAGTTCGCGTTTCTCCATTTTGCCCACGAATCAAATTCTCGACAAATGTGAAGTTTGAAAAAAAATTGGGTATAGTTCTTAATTTAATTTTGTCTGATCTTCCCTACTAACGAACTTAAAATTCGAAAAAAAAATTGAATTCTTTTATAATCGGAGAAGGAGTAGATGAAGAAAGAATCAAAGAGGAGGGTGGAAACGTGATATGATAGATATTATAATGTCTGGATAGACGAGGTCAGCAGAAGTACAGGGAAGGTGTATAAAGTAAAGTAAAGTGAAGTAAAGTTACAGCCTATATACGTCCCACTGCTGAGCACAGGCCTCCCATCATTTATGAGAGGGTTTTAGGGCGGGAAAGTATCCGCCGCGCTGCCCCAATGCGTGTTGGCAAACTTCACATGTCTTAGAAATATTTTTTATCTTATCCCTCAGACGTGAAGGTTTCCTCACGATGTTTTCCTTCACCGCCGAGCACGTGGTAAATCAGCACTTAAAATTGCAATTAACAATTTCATTGGTGCCGGCGGGGATCGAACCCGGGTTACTCGCGTTCTGTTATATTACAGCGAGCGTTAACCATCTGAGCTACCACGGCTCTCATCTTTGACTTTTGAGCCGAAAGCTGGGAGTGAGATCTTCCTAATTTGGAATCCGCGTAGGCGAAATAACCAGTTTTGTCAGACCATATGCCAAGGCAAATTCATAAACAGATCTCTCCGCAAGATCGCTGAAACGCGAGTCGAGCCATTTTGTTGGTGGGCATTAAAATCGCCAAGTATCACGATCTCTTTTATATCTTTTTTAAAAAAACGTTCTAGGATGTTCTCCTGTATCGTGGGGCCATTTACAAACATCTCTGTGGATGGTATCTGACCTTTTTAGTTCTTTCTGATCAGCTCGATTCACCGGCGCTGTGAAAGGATATTGCATCCCTTTGTATTTTCTATCGCATTGGTTCGAATTAATAGCAGCTGCCAAATTTCGCGAACGCACATCATGAAAAAACTATCTATACCATTCACAACATCTGGATGCTTAGCAGTCCACCGTTCGTTTACTATGAGTTTTCTTCCTCGTACAAACTCTTTGTTGAATCGTTTACCACGGCGATTTTTACGGACCGATACGACCTGGGAAAAGAGCTCAAGAAAAGAGCTTACTCCTTTCTAAAGGGCCGACAGCGCACTTACAATTCTCCTGGTGTTGCGGTTGTTCATGGACGGCGGTAGTCACTTAACATCAGGTGAACCGTGTGCTCGTTTGCCCCCTCTCCTATAAAAAAAATTGTTTGTCCCCTATTCAATAACATACACACATAATCTTCTAAAATCGTAACCATCATTTTGGTTTCACCGTAATCGAGTATAAATATTCACTTACATCATCTGCATTAAATCAAAAGACACGAATATACTGCTATCGGTATCGCTAACTTAAGCTGAGGTAGACAATGCATGGTGCAGCATAATTTGTCTCCCACACATGCACATTTCACGCACCTTGGTGTACTTTGATTTTGGTCTCGCCCTAATTACTCCATCGCCAATCTAATGAAACTATTTTAACATAAATATAGTACATATCTATGTTAAAATCATAACAAGCTGTTCAGAGATCATCACATAGAGTATTATCACTGGATGACACCAGTCATTACTTGACTATTTTTATAACATTTGTAATTTTGAAGAAAAAAAAATAGAAAAACAAAAAAGTTGTTACCGGGGCCCATAAAGATGCTGAGAATGTGTCCGATGCAACTGAGTGAGGCGGCGATATATCTCCTCGCGATGACAATTGTTCCTGGAATAGACGCACTGGATTTAAATAAAACTGATAGGCACCACAGCCAAACTATAACTATACACATAACAGAGAACATAAAACTACAAAACAGACAAGCAGCAGTGCTCGCACCGCTGTGTTCCAGTCTAAAGGCCATAGGGCCAGTGTTGCCTGCAAATGAGATTTTTTTATAAGATAAGGGTAAAGGACGAGCACACAGTCCACGTGATAGTAAGTGGATGTTGTGGCCCATAGACATCTACATTTAACCTCGGTTAAGAATCAAAATGCAGATGCGTTGTCACCCCTGAGGACTAAGATGGAATATCTCGATTCCAGTAAAAGGGTTCTACTAACCAAACGAAACACAGCAGCATTAAGCTGCTATTTTACGCTGGTATTTTGTGAGAGCGTGGTCCTGCCCCGGTCGAGCCGACCCGTTCATGCCACAACCATAATAGCTGCAGCGTGGCTCTCATCATCATTACATCCCTTCACAAGTCCACTGCTGAACATAGGCCTCCCCCAAGTAATGCCACAAAGCACGGTCCTGAGCCACCTGCATCCATCGACTTCCTGCATGTCTCACCAGGTCGTCACTCCATCTAGTGGGGGGTCGCCCTACACTACGCCTATCAGTAGTGCTCTACCACGTATATATATATATATATATTTTTTTTTATATATATATATAATTCCTTATTAGTGACAACGCATCTCAAGCCTTCTTTGTTTGAAGTTGGATGCAGTAGCCATATACACATCAGGTGAACTATAGGTTCCTTCGTCCCTTGTTTTTTATAAATAACAGGTCAAGTGCGAGTCGAACTCGCACATGAAGGGTTCCGTACTTTAATTTTTGATTTATTTTTGTTTTTATTATTTATTTATTTATTTATACACTTTATTGTACTAAAGGTACAAAAGGCGGGCTTAATGCCCATAATTGTCTACCTATTACGGGTCATGAGATACAGCCGGCTGACAGACAGACGGACGCACGAACGGGCGGACGAACAGCGGAAGTTTAGTAACAGAGTCCCCGTTGGTTACCCTTTATGTACGGAACCCTAAACATGACTATCGATTTTACTGTACGTTACTTACATCCGAATAAAGATCAGAGTTAGCCTAGCTCCGTGGCGCAATGGCCGCGAATTCGAATCACGCACAAAACAAGTATTTGTATGGCCTACTAATAATAACATTGTTCTAGGTCTGGATGTTTCCTTGTGAAATTTATGTATGTAAACTGCCTCCACAATACAGCAGCTACTTGCTCCTGTGGTGTGGAAATCCTACTGAAATGATAACGTTTTTTCAACTAACTAACCAATTTTACTTCATGACTAATAACTTAGGAGTACGCAATAATTTACGCACCTGCAAGATTGCATTCCTCTTCCTCTCAGTTTCGAGCGCAGCCCTTTCACTCTCGAGTTGGTGCTCCACCTCTGTGAGTCGTTGCTGCAGATCCGATATCTGTGTCTCGGTTTCCGATTTGAGTTGCTCTAATTCTGCGTTTGTACTGCAAATAAATACAGAGATAAATAAATAAAAATAAAAATAAACACTCACGCCTGTCACCCAGAGGGGTAGGCAGAGACTACGGACTTCCATTTGGCACGATCCTGAGATACCTCTTTCGCCTCCTTTACATCCATATATCTACGCATACATGCTCGTCGGTTAAGGGTACTTCTAACGTGGCCCATTTTCAAAATATCGCCAATTTGGTCGATAAACTTTTTTCTAGGGCGTCCTTTCCGACTCGGCCGATCACATCTGCCATATAAATTTGCTTTGTCACTCTTTCCTCATTCATTCTTTCTACATGACCAAACCAACAGAGATATTACAACATTTGAAAATTCCTTAAAAGGCAAAACAACTCATGTTATAAAGTATATATACTAGCGTGTCAGGCAGACGTTATTCTGACGTTTTCGACGACCCTTTGTCATGTCCTATTAAAAATCCTTAAATTCGCAAATTGCGGATCACTCATGGGCAAAAAAACTATCCTATCTCTCAAGTTTTACCAAACTGCACACGGTGTGCAAATTTATGCAAATTTGATTAATATCGGTTAAGTAGTTTAGGAGTCCATCGCGGACAAACAACGTGACACGTAATTTATATATATTAAGTATATATATATATATATATATATATATATATATATATATATTATATATACGTGTGTGTGTCAATGTAGAAGAATTGCAGAAAACTAACATTTATGTTTTTTTTTATAATGCAAACGAGCACACGGTTCACCTGATGTTAAGTGACTACCGCAGCCCATGAACAACCGCAACACCAGGGGAATTTCAGGCGTTGCCATACCAAACCCGATCGAAGGCCTTTGCAATGTCTAAACTAATAGCCAATGCCTCCTCCTTGGACTCTACTGCCTTCGCCCATCTACAAGTTAGGTAGACTAGAGGATCACCAGCTGATCGGCCTAGCAGATCGAGAAAGAAGGAGAACTAGTTTCTTGCCAATTCAAATAGTTAGTTGAATTAGTTAATTCAGTTTAATATATTTATATTTGAGCATATGTTTGAACGTAAAAAATGTAAGAATAACACACATTGTTAATATTTATACTTTCAACCAGTGGCGTAGCAGTATTGCCTTAGATGGGCCCTGTATCAAGATTTGTTGGGGGGCCCAAATGAAAGGTCCAAAACCGCTCGCATGAAATAAAATAATTATATATATATATATATATATATATATATAAGATTATAAATTAATAATTACTATTAATACTAATTAGGAACTAAGCCAGCCAAACAATACAAATCAAATATATACTTTTCTTGTCTTATTCTGCGAACTTAAAGGTCGGGGAAAGTTTTTTAGTTTTTTTATATACACATTTTTTTAAAGTTTTATTACACCTTACTTATTACTACCTTTCAATGAACTCGTGTAGTACCTAAATATCTATATCTATCTAATGTATTCGAAATAGTTGTAATACTTCATACATTACTTAGGTCTCAGAGGCTCTGAAATCTTTGCTTAGTTTGAGAAATTAATATATCGAAACAGCAGAAGTACAAATTGACTTTGAAGTAAGATTCCGAGTATGAAATTCTCTCATCTTCTGATATTCTTCTTTAAAAAAAATCACTTCGTTATCTTCTTTCTTTTATTTTTGAAAGCAGTTTTTACATCCCACTCTTTTGCTAATCTCTGGACTCGCTCAGCAAAACATGGAATGAATTTTGATTTCCTATTTCGCTCAGTATATGCAAAAGATTACTTAGTAAAATGTTAGCTTTCTGTAAGTCATTATTTTCATGATGTAGAGCTTTAGAAAAATGATTAATGATTTCAAATAATGAATAATAAAGGCGACAAGCACTATAAAATTGTAGGCTCTTTAAAATGGTAACTATATTTTTCTATTCGTCACGTTCGCCTTTTTAGTGGAAATTAAATTTAGTTGGTACAAAGTTTTCATTATTAATATCATTTATCATTAAAATAATTTTTCCTTATAGCTGATAAAGCGTGGTTTCTTGAAGACCATTTAGTAGGGCACCTATTTAGGGTAATATTATATTATATAGATGAATCGTTACTCTCGCATTGAGAAGCGTTTTATACCATTGTTAAAAAAAATATATGGGTTATTCCGTTTATCAACCCTAAAAATTCACCCTAGTGGATACTAGCAAACGCGTGTCCATCTGTCGTCCCCTGGCGGGGTTGATAATCAGAGTTCATTTTTATTTGTTCTTCCAACTTTTTACCCAAAGTACTGTTTAATACAGACACTTTAATTATTAATTATGTTTAATAACAAAAAATTTAATCAAAAACATATTACGTTTTCATCAACGTTACAGCCTATTAAAGTCCATTCATTATGTATTGCAAAATTGAAATAAAATTAAATCAAATTAAACTTCCTCGTTTTAAATAATATTATTGCGTAATTTATAAATTCTGCAATTTTTCCAGGCAATTAACAACACTAATATCATTATTGAGTAGACGTAGTTTAATATCCTGGATAAATTCTTCACTTTTAATGTACATTTGCAATCGTATTCTAAATTTATTTGCTACAACATATTATATTTAGCGAAGAACTGGGCGTTTTTGTAAGCATTCCAAAAAACGTTACCAATGAATGTTTGTCTTCATTTTAAATTATTTTATGCCGAGATTCCAATGAATCTGTAATTCTGTGAGGTTACTCCTTTTATTTCAGTGTTGACCTCTACTAAGTATCTTTTTGGGCCAGTTTTTATCATATTTCTATAAATGACTGTACACAGAAGAGGGATTGTTTTTGCTTTTTTTTTTTTAAAAAAAAAAAAAGGTTACCCCTACACTAGGATTTTCTTCTGTATCATGGAGGCAGTTTACAAACATAAATTGCACAAGGACAAACATCCAGACCCGGAACAATCATATTATGTAGGCCATACAAATACTTGTTCGGTGCGGGATTCAAACCCACGGCCCATTGCCAAGCCACTGGACCTTAAATTTTGACAGGTCTTCTTTAGACACGTTACGAACTATTAGATACAAGGCTGCACTAAAAGTATCGGGAATGGAATATTTCCACTGTTCCTGTCATATTAAAATCTTTTTAATTGAAAACTCCTTGGTTTTAAAAATCGAATACCATTTATTTATTTAAAAAAAGATTCTCGGTCTTGTCACAAGGTTTTGTCAAACTTGTTTAGTCGTTGAGAAAATGGAATTGACTCGAGAAAATTCAAGAGCGATGATTTATTATGACTTTCGAAGTGGTTTAACACAAAAACAGTGTATTGACCGGATGATTTCTGCATTTGGTGATGAAGCCCCATCCAAAACCACAATTTATCGCTGGTTTGCTGAATTTCAACGTGGACGTGTCAAGCTCAGTGATGATTATTTTATATTACCATATGAGTTAAAAATATCATTTTGTACAGTTTATTAAAATTGAAAATGAATAATTATATAATAAACAGTTGTGGCGGCGCTGTCGTCGCGCCGCAAGCGAAACACACCGAAGCTTAAATCACGCTATTAACATTCCGAATCATAAACAGCATATATAGAACATCTCCGAACTATCACACGGAGTGTGAGCCGCTCCCCGGGCAGAACACCTTGCCCGGCGGGAGATCTCCCCTTTTCCTTCCACGGCCACACAGTCATTATCTTTTCATTATATCATATCTAATTCATGTCGTAATCTGTTCTTCTATGCATATAATTTAAAAAAATAATTTCGATGTTTCACATCTGCCAGGCGTCTCGTTTTTTTTTAATTTTGTACATAGTTTGTTTGTACTTTGTTCATGCTTTTCTTTTGTTCGTGTATTGTATTGTATGTAAATATCTTTTTTTTTCATTCAAGCAAACTCAAACGGCTTTTTTCAAAGCCACCGAAGCTATGCAATTGCTGATATGTCATACAATCTATCTAGCAGTAGTATGCCTTCTGTGTGCTTTGTTAAATACGTCCTTGACAGCACTGAATATGAAACTGAAGAGTGGAGACAGATCAAGATTAGTGGATTTTTATAACTGTTAAAAACAACAAAACCATATCTTGGGCTTGCCCTATTTTGGAGCCCTAGCTTCGCCACTACAGGCGGTGTGTAAATTCGTTTGCCACTAGCGTTCTTTAATGATGTATGAAGTTTGAAATCACCTAAAAACTTCCAAATACGATGCACAAACATATTATGGGAAAGTTTTTGAATTAATGACAGTTGCAAAAGTATTCAGTAACGAAAGAAAGAAAATAATATAAATAAAACCGTGCGAATCCATAACGAAAGAAAAATTGCCAAAGTATAATAGTGCTAGTCCGTAACGAAAGAAAAAAATACAAAAGTATAACCGTGCGAGTCCGTTACGAAAGGAAAAATGGCAAAGTATAATGGTGCTAATCCGTAACGAAAGAAATAAAATACAAACGTACAACCGTGCGAGTCCACCACCAAAGAAAAATGGCAAATTATAATAGTGCAAGTCCGTAAGGAAAGAAAGAAAATGACAAAAATACAAGAGTCTGTAACGAAAGAAAAAAAGGCAAAAGTATAATAGTGCGAATCCATAACGAAAGAAAGAAATGGAATAAGCATAATAGTGCGAGTCCGTAACGAAGGAAAGAAATGGCAAAAGCATAATGGTGCAAGTCCGTAACGAAAGAAAGATAATGACAAAAGTACAACCATGCGAGTCCAATATGAAAGAAAAAAATGGCAAAGTATTAATATAGCGAATTCGTAACGAAAGAAAGAAATGGCAAAAGCATAATAGTGCGAGTCCGTAATGAACGAAATAAAATAGCAAAAGTACAAGCGTGCGAGCCCGTTACGAAAGAAAAAAATGGCAAAGTATAATAGAGCGAGTCCGTAACGAAAGAAAGAAATGACAAAAGCATAATAGTGCGAGTCAGTAACGAAAGAAATAAAATGACAAAAGTACAACCGTGCGAGTCCGTTATGAAAGAAAAAAATAGCAAAAGTATAATAGTGCGAATCCGTAACGAAAGAAAGAAATAGCAAAAGTATAATAGTGCGAGTTCATAATGAAAAAAAGAAAATGACAAAAGCACAACCGTGCGAGTACATCACGAACGATAAAAAATTGTGAAATGCTACAACTGACCGTGCGAGCTCCTGCTCCAGCTGCTGCCGCTGCAGCGCGGCGCGCTGGTAGTGCGCAGCCAGCGCGTCGTGCTCTGACCTCACCTCGCTCTGCAACAGAAACCACTGCTTACACCTCACTAAATCTCCAATGCACAAACCTCAAACACTGCTCAATTTTAAGATAACATTAAGTCTCGTGCTGTCTCTATCACTTTAAGTCAAAGTGACTGTAATATCACGAGACTTAACGACATCTTAAAATTGAGTAGCGTTTGAGAATTTGGCCATAAGTGTCTTATACACGCTCCGTCTTAGTAAAAACATAATAGTAGGCTAAAATTTTGCTAGCAGTATTTATTTATTTTTTTCGTTTTATTTTTTCTTTCTATATGTTTCTTTTTGTAAAATAAATTAATATAGGGGTTTGTTTATGTAAATTAGCTTTTTATTAATAGGTTATATTACTATATCTATACAAAAATACCTCGTAAGTACATTAATTATCATATAACGTCACATCAAATTAATTTTTAAACTTTAAATATGAGCTGACACCGTATGCTCAGTGTTCATTTACTCGTATTTTAGTTATTTGGCATTGGTTGTAATCTAAAGCTACATTTTTTTTTGACAAACATTGATTCTTTGAGAAGAATCTAAAGAAATGATTAACAAATATGATGCATAGGTACGTATCGGTATGTATTATGTTTGTAAATATTAAAAAAAACATAACACTCACGCCTGTCACTCAGAGGGGTAGGCAGAGCTTACAGACTTCCATTTAGCACGATCCTGACATGCCTCTCTCGCTTCCTCTACATCCATATACCTACGTATACATACTCGTCGATTAAGGGTACTCTTAATTTGGCCCTTTTTTAATATATCGCAAATTTGGTCGACAAAATTTCGCCTAGTGCGTCCCTTTCCGACTCTTTCATTCACTTCTGCGACAGATATTTGCTTTGTTAGTCTTTCCGCGTTCATTCTTTCTACATGACCAAGCCAACTAAGCATTCCTTTCTTAATCCTGGTCACCGCATCATCTTGCAAACCACACTCTTCTTTTATCACACAGTTTCTCATCCTGTCACTCAGATTCAGCCCTAACATACGTCTTAGCGACCGCATTTCTACTGCATTGATTCTACTCTCGTGCTTCTTCCCATCCCTGCTGAATACACAACCCAAATATACAAACTCATCTACTTGCTCTACCATCTCCCCTTCTATTCTTATTTATCATACATTTTTACTTTCTTCTCTTTCAAAAACCATAACTTTCGTCTTACTTGCATTGAAAGGGGAATGAAAGTGTCATTCCCCTTTCTTTTAATGACCTATTCATTAATGTAACCATCATTTAGCACTCGGCCGCCGACGACGCAAATATGACTTGATAACTTTAAACTTTAACTTAACTTTTTTTAACTTTAGGTTAACTCAGCCATTCTCATAAATAGGTTGAACAGCCACGGGGAAGCCACACAGCCCTGTCTGACACCTTTATGGATGCCAAACCAGTCCGAGTAGACCCCGTTGATCCTAACACAAGCACTCGAATCCCTACACAGAGACCTTAATGCCTGTATCAACCCAGCGTTCAAACAAAATAAGTTCAGTGTTTGCTATAATACATCCCTGTCCACTCTATCATAAGCCAATACAAGTCCATGAACGCTCAAAAATCTTCTTGGTTTTTAACCAAAAACTTCTCCGCGATCATGCGCTTGTAAAAGACTTGATCTGTACACCCCATTCCCTTTCTAAATCCTGCTTGCACATTCCAAAATTTTCCATCAGTTTTTTTCATAACTCTTTCAATTAGTACCTTAGCATAAAGTTTTCCCACAATGCTAAGAAGGCTGATACCACGGTAGTTTTAGTAGCCTGCTGCGACCCTTTTCTCTAATATATTCGGACTATCACGGCTTTGCACCAGTCTCCCGGTACCCACTTCAGTTTCCAACATAAATTAAAGTGTACAGCAGGCCTGTCACCATTTCCTCTCTAGCCCTTAGCATTTTGAGTGAAGCTCTATCATATCCGGCTGCCTTACCTACTTTCATGCTTTTCATGGCTTTAATTATTTCATCTATACTAATAATACTACTCCTTTTGAATGTCCCCTGGTAGTTCTTACGAGTTTCCAGAACATTTTAATATTTGCCTGGAAGTTATCCGATATCATTCTTATCTGTTCTTTTTTGCTTTTTCCTTTCAACTAGTTCTTATACTCTCTTATTTAGACGTTTAAATCATGCCGTTTTACTTTCAATCTCATCATTCGTACCGCTAGAATTACCAGCTTTGGTTGCTAGTAAATCTAGCCATGCTCTCTTCTTTGCTTTAAATTCCATACGTACTTCATCATCCCACCATAACGTATTATTTTTCCTTTCATTCGTTCTCTTACTAAACCCACATACTTCGGTAGCTGCATCCAATAAGCCTTTCTTAACATTATGCCACACATTCTCCAAGTCTAACTTATTCATACAAAATTCATCCAGACCACTTATATTTTCTCTCAGTTTACATTTGTACTTGTCTTTCACATCTTCATCTTGTAACCTCTCTATTCTTATACGCTGTAACACAGTAGTAGACACAGATGTCCAATGCCGCCAACGTCTGAATTAACCATTAATTCGGCATAAGACCAGGTAATAATCCGTCTCTACGTTGAAGCCCCGGTAAACTTTGTATCCACCACTGCTCTCCTCATTCTTTCATCCACAATTATGTAATCTATCATGCTTCTATCAGCACCTCTTTCCCAAGTATACACGTGAATCTTCTTTTGACGAAAGAAAGTGTTCGTCACAAAAAGATTCTTTCCACACATACGGTGAGGAGGCTTTCACCATTCTCATTAATACTTTCATCACCAAACATTCCCAAGATCCTTTCATAGTCAAACCTCTTCACCCCAACCCTTCCATTATATCCTAAAAAAACAATATTTTCATTTCCCTTACATTTCATTAACACCATCCTTACCATCTCCCAAAACTGCTCTCGGATATAAGTGGGCTTAGACATGTCTGGGGCGTAGACCCCTAGAACAAACAACTTCTTTAGGCTCACTTTCATTCATATCCATAGCAGTCTCGGGCTTACACATTCATACTCTTTCACACATTAACCTATTCTTTATGAAAGGATGATACCGACTCCCTGGCAAGCCCGCTCGGTGTCGTCTACACCAGACCAGACCACGGTATATATGCCATGTGTAGTACAACTAAAAAAACACCTTTTAGCATTTCAAAAATCATGATTTCACGTGTAGTGGGCAGGTTATTTCATAAGTACCATTTAACAAATATATGTGGATAATTAATATGTATATAGTACAATATAAAATGTATTATATTTTTAATAATATTTTTATGTGCGAGTGTGTATATGCACGTGTATGTATATGTATTTTTTACACTTATGTTTATTCTTAAAAATTTACAAGCATCGATAACAACGCGGGCGCAATATCGAATTAATAATATTCAGGGCTCCGCTGAAAATCAGCGCTGCTGCAGTACCTGTGGTAGCATATGTTGAGACGGAATCCTTTTTGGCATCACATCATTCACTCTTGCCGAGACTTATTTTTAATTATGTTTACCATCTTGTACCTTGTGTGTTTTTGTGTTCTTGTTTACTTTTAAATGTATATTTCGTGAGTGTATTGATGCTAATAAAACCTATGTCTATGTCTACATCCTTTCCCTTCCGTTTCGTTTAATTTACACATAACACATCTATTCCTCTATCATACATCATATCGCATACTTCATCCATCTTATCATTCATTGCTCTACATACATTAAGGTAGCTAGACGGGCCTCCGCAATCCTCTTTTTGCCCCTCCGGGAGACAGAACGTGACGGGTGGCGAACCTCGTCGCCGGTTTTCCTCCCGGAGATTCTTCGGACTCCTGCCCCATTAGAGGAGCGCCGGGAACTCGGGGCCATTTCCTTTCTTTTATGCCTCAAGATGCGAAACGAGTTGGTGATATATTTTACGCAGCTACCACAGGGCGAGGACCCGAGTCTGTTCTTTCGGCTTTGTCGCTCTTTTAACACCACCCGGGGGAAACGTGTAGGGTGGGCCTAGGATTAGGTGGTCGAAGCCTACGGACGCGAGCGACTTATCTCCTCTAAAAAATATTGTAACTGCTTATAAAACTAAATGAGACTTAGCTGTTATCAGTAGGCATTTAAGTCTCACGCGACGCGGGAGTATCCTACTATTCTGTTTTTACTATGGTCTTGCTGTACGTTCAATGTCATGTACGATGTTAACTGACAACGAGCAGGCTTGACGTACGTTAACATTATTATTATTTTTAATGTAGCATTTTTATTGAATGTTTGTAATATTGTTTACCTGATAATTTCATAGTATCAATACTACAACTTTATAAATATTTTTAAACGTTTTTCGTTCCATTAAACAATATCAGACGCAAACCAGCCAAGCTGTAGGTAAACCTAAAATTAATAGTGTTTTATTACGATGAGAAAAAAAAAAGACATTTGTTTGACTTAATTGAATATTATATACACTATTCAATTACATTAGACCCTTTTGAGTTTTTCCATTCTATTTTATTTCTTTTTAATGTCTCACCCTCATGCTTCAGAAAGCACGTAAAGCCATTGTTCCTGCATCCCTCTCCGGTTGTGTCGGTTTACCGTCCCGTCGGACCATGAGAGTGAGTGAATAATGCACCTGTGCTTGCGCATACACTTGGCTACTATAATCCTGTCCCGCGCCGATGGCTCATCTCCGTTGAGGCTGGCCGCCGTGACCGAAATTCGGTCTGAAGGACATTATTATTATTATTACGACAAAACATGTTATTCCGTTACAGCCTAATAAATTCCACTGCTGCACATAGTCCTCCTCCATAGGTTACCTTACCATTGCCATAGTTGTCATGGTTGGCAAGCGGGTTGGCAACTGCAGTTTTTTTTTGGTCGTTATTTTGAAGATGCTGTCGTTCATCTCCTATTTCTTCAAAACATGTTAGTTCAAATTATTCAACGTTAAAAGTACAACAATGTGACTCTGCAATGGATCAAGGGACACAGTGGATCTAGAGGCAACGACGCAGCAGATGAACTGGACAGAAGGGGATCGGCCCTGGCAACTATAGGGGCCGGAACCAATAATACCAATCCCCTTTGGCTACGTTCGTTCACTGGTACGTAGATACTTCAATAATTTACACGCTCAGCTTCGGAATAATTTTGTAGACTGTACACAAGTTAGGGAGGCCCTACCTGAAATAAACAGTCGTCTAACCAAGGTTCTAATGAGACTGAACAAGCCACAGATCAGGATAGTAACAAGTGCTATCACAGTACATGGCTCTTTTAACAAACATTTGTTCACCATAGGTGTTACTGATAGCCCCCTGTGCAGGGCATGCATGGGAGAGGAAGAAACGGCGGCTCACGTGTTGCTGACATGTTCCAGAAGTCGCTTACTACAGGGCTAAACATCTCGGCACGCCGGGATCGCTCCCCGAGCTGCTGAGCTGCTTCGGGGAGATATCATGGCTCGAATAAGCATATTATTCTTGCCCACACGCAAAATACGCGCTTAGACGTGGAGTTGCGGAAAACAGCCCGTCGTAAACTAAACTAAACTAAACGTCAAAAGTACTTGACAAATAAATTTTCAATGTATCTACGGCGAGCGCTTTGAACACGTATGCAACGTGGCGTGTGGGAGTATTTACATGTATCGTGAGGGCGCGTGTGCGTTTAGGCGTATGTGCACGTGCGCCTGTGTACGTGTGTGCGTGAGAACGCGTGTGCGTGTGCGCGTGTGTGCGTGCGGTACCTGCAGCGCGTCGGCGAGCGCGAGGCGGTCGCGCAGCGCGTCACACTCCTCCCGCGCGAGCCGCTCGCGTTCCGCTGCCTTTGCTGCGCATGTCTCCGCTTCCGCTGCACCACAAAACTTACTCTCAAACTTTCAAGTCCGCCTCAAAATCAAAGTTAATGTTTTCGTATTTATAGTTTATAGATATAATTGCATATAGTTAAGCATCCACACGTAAACAATTATTTGTATATTGATAACATTAAATGTTATTAAATAGTATAAAAATCGGTAGACTAATCGCTAAGCATATTTTCTTCTGCATTGAATAACAACACCAGTGGCTGTTAAGTAGTCACAAGCACAAAAACTTATTTTTAAGACCTTTACTTAGAAAATACGACTCATTTAAACATAAAAACCCACCCGGGTTCGTTTCACTTTATTTAGTGCCAGGCTAAGAAACACTATGCACTGTAGCGCTGCAGTACGATGCACCATGCAGCGCTGCAGCGCTGCAGCGTAAGCATGGGTAATACCATTCTTACCGTATATCAAATAGCATATATGTACTGGATTTTAAATCGAATATTGTATCTTAATATTTCTATATCTACATATCAGTTGATATCTACGTGATTTTGTAACTTTTAAGCAAATCGGTACTCAGTACCATGCAGTGCGATTTTTGGTGCATTTGGTTTACTTAGATCTAAAGTCATATTGCACAATGTAATATCTAATTATGTTAATGCGTATTGATTTATATCGTTACTCTGAAACGAGTTCCTACAACGAAGAATCGTAGTAGCTGCTTTATTCGATTACTTGCAATTTGCCCTAGCTTCGCTTGGTTAGAGTATATAAATGCTGCGTTATTTAGATTTAAGATAATCAAAGAGATAACTTCTTTAGAATCGTTGTGATTTTAAAGTCGATGAAACGAAAAAGCTACACTAAAAAGAGACAAACATATACATCCATAAGACTCAACCGGCCAAGAATAAGTTAGAATACATAAATAAAGTATTTATTAAAAAAAATGTATTTTAATTACTTATATCCTACAAGTATTCTACTCCTGATACTCTTACTACTTGCATTCGCCTCATTATCTTGAAGTTAAATTTTCAAAAGGGTTTCACTTCTACCGAGTGTGCAGTTCACAAAGTTTTTTTGGCAATTTTTCGTTTTGTTTTTCAAAATATATCCAAGGTTTTTGGATAAAATACAGTGGTGACAATATAATTAAGAACGCTGATATAAGGGGAAGATTTTTTCAAACTAAAACACAAAACTAATTGCATGCATTTTTTTTTATTTCTCTCGCTATCGTAAAACTTTTACATAATACCACTGTATTTATTGATACACATGATTAGCTAAAAATAAATATAAAAAGTTTTTACACTACTTCTAAACATAGTGTTTCTATTTACTGGCTGATAACGTAATTAAGAACGCTAAATAATTAATATCTTTATTCAAATTTAAATAGAGAACACTCAGTGGATTTGTTACAGTTTGTATAATTTTGGCGCCATTTAGTGCCGTAAAAGATTAAAAGTGATTGCTTAAGGAAAAAACAATGGGAAAAAATAAAAGTTATGATAAATCTACAAGGGAAGTAATAATAAAACTTCGCGGGAATAATTGGTCTTATAAAAAGATAGCCGACCACCTACAATGTTCAAAAACGATGGTTTTCCATGATGTAAAGTATTTTGCTACGTATCAAACTACTTCGAATGTTCCACATGTACCTAAACAGAGAAAAACAACTGCTCGAGATGACCGAAACATCGTTCGTATGGCAAAACAAAATCCTTTTAAAGGGTCCAATGAACTGAGAAAAGAATATTTTGGTGAAAACAACCCTTCAGCAATCTCAGCACGCACTATTCGAAGACGTTTGGTAGAAGAAAAATTGCACGGTAGGATAGCAAGAAAGGTACCCATGTTGAAACCTTGCCACAGGCAAGCCCGGCTTGCGAGAAAGTATGGAAACTGGACAGTGCGACAGTGGAAAAATGTACTTTTTTCCGACGAGACGAAAATAAACTGAGTATGTTCCGATGGAAAACGATATGTACGACGTCCTCCGAATACAGCATTCAACCCTAAGTACACGACAGTTACATTAAAGCACGGTGGTGGAAATGTGAAAATCTGGGGGTGCTTTTCTGGACATGGTCTTGGACCTGTAAAGTTGATAGAAGGTAACATGGATCAGTTCCAATACAAAACTATACTGGAAGAAACAATGTTACCTTATGCTGAAGACGTTCTACCGGTTATTTGGACGTTTCAGCATGACAATAATCCAAAACATACTGCACGCACCGGAAAGGAATTTCTTACAGCGCAATCAGTTTCTGTCTTAGACTGGCCAGCTAACAGCCCAGATCTAAGCCCAATAGAGAATCTGTGGTTTGAAGTAAAGAAAAAGGTTTCAAATACACAGTGTGGGAATTTAAGAGAGCTGTATGACGTTTTTTTAGAAGAATGGAACTCTATTTCTCTTACGAAATGTCAAAAATTAATAGAGTCAATGCCTCGCCGGTGTAAAGCTATTGCGTAAGCTAAGCGTGGATATGCTATTGACTATTAATTTTAGTTAAAAATGTATTAAATTGCTTTTTAAATTTTCCGCGCTACATATTATTGTGATTTTTTAAATGTAAGTGTCATACAAAACAATTTCCGAGCAGTTTAATAAATCGTTCTTAATTATTTGTCCAGTTTCAGTATTATTTGAATGAGTTACTTTGGTAAAAATAAAATGTAAAAAGTTAGCGATTTTATTCTTTATTCCTAAGCCACGTTGCTCTATTAATGTGGCTATTTTATAACATAACTAGTTGCTTCTCAGAAGGTGCACATCTCTGTATACGACATGATTTAAATAAAAAACTTCTAGAACTTCAAATCGTTCTTAATTATGTGACCACAACTATATGAGGCTATCAGCGCAAAAATGGTGTAAGCCACAATTTTTGCTGGTTGCGGTTTTGGTGTAAACTACATTCCGTACGTTATCAACTTTAAATACAATAGTGGAGTAAGCCACCTTTTGCTATCCAAAAATAGATGGCGCTAAAACACAGTTTTTGCACGGAACGTAATGTAGCCGACTAAAAGAGCAAAACTGGTGTAAGCTGAATACATCACTTTTGCACTATAGCAACACAGGTATGTCTGTGGCTTACGTCGAATCCGTAATATTACGTCAGTCGTCAGTCTCAGCTGTCAAAACGGTAAAATTGAGAGAAACTATACTGAATTTAATTGAAATTTATTTATATTCTAAAATACCCAATTATACGTACTGAATAACAAAAAGACGTGTGGCACTCGGGGACTGCCGCGGTAAAGCTATTGCATAGCATTTTGTATCAACTTATGCAATTATAATTATTTATTTATTTTATTTATGCAGTATTTCTTTTTCTTTGATATTAATTCAAGTTACTTAGGTTAATCCAATCAAATTCAACCAGATTTAACCGAACCCGCGTTATAACGAACTCACTATTTGTGAAAAATACTGTATCACCGGACCGCGTCGCAAAAAACTCAGGTTCGCGCAGTACATACGTCAGGGTGGCCGTACGGCAATTATATTAACAAGACGCGCAACTACTCAGTTCCACGCTCCACCGCAAGATTTGTCACTTATTATTTATTGTCCAATTAATTGTCTTTAAGTTCAAATGGCACGCTATATTAACATAAGTCTAAGACAAAACAAGGAGACTTTCAATATATGAACAACTATATTTTTCTAACTGTTGTTTTAAACTGTTATAATATATTATAACAGTTTTAAATATTACATTGTACACGCGGTTAGTTCAGTTCAGTCGTTGGCTGTGTTCGCGTTTTGTTTAACGAAAAATAAACAAAAACAACAATAGCTTTTTCACGTAATATGGGGACCTGCTATCAAAACATTACGTATATAATTTCGATCGTGTTGTCATCTCAGCTAGACAGCTAACTGAACACTAAACTGATATATTATATATTACAACAGCCAAATTAAATAACAGGCACAACAGGCAACTAATGGAGGAAATAATATATTTTTGTTTACCGTTATAATTTAGTGTTAGTAAAATAAGCTCTTATTAAGTTAGCTTAGAGTTTAAATTAGTGTAAGCTATACGCAATCCTTGTGGCATAATGAGTGTAGGTAGTATTTTATTGACTCCTATTGTCTCGGCCGACGCGACGGTTGGACCGTAAACGTAAACAGATGACGCTTTCTAACGATAATGAATATAATATTATAACAGTCAATGGTTCATTATTCTAATGTGTTGTAAGATTAAAAATATATAATGAAATATATTATCTGTTGTATGTTATAACGCCCAACTTTAGGGGGTGACCGACCGCGCGCACAAATGCAGCTAGCCTCCCCCCTCCCGCACCTCACTAATCGTCGCTTCACACCGCTTGAGATAAGACGATCTACTATCAGGCGCTAACAAACCCCCGTCCCGGACATAAGGACCTATGTCCGCGAGTAAATTGGCAATTAGAAGACGCTTTGTATTGTTGGTTTTTACAAAAACGATCAACTGGGCAAATGATATCTGGCCCTTTGCTTTGTGAAAAAGCGTTACAGTTAAATAAAAAATTAGGTGACGGCGGCTCGTTTGTCTCAAGTAACGGATGGTTATATAGATTTATATCTCTTCATGGAATTTAATCAATGTTTATTAAAAAATAATAATTTCTTAATAAACATTGATTTTCGTTGAAATTGTTGTTTTTAATAAACACATAAAATTATGTATGTACATATGTACTACAAATGCACAAAACCCGCTTTTCTTCATACATTCGATCATCCGGATTTTCGTTTATCCGAATCCCTAACGGCAACAATTAGTCCGGTTAATCGAGTATATATATACATATTGAGAATCTAAATTGAGAATTTAAACTATACGCGTGTGTGTGTTTGTGTGTATATAAAGAGGGCTACTTTTAATATCGCTCATTTTAATATCAAAAATTTAGGTTATCTTTATAGCAGTATTATATTTTCAATTCAAAATTAGTACTGCATTTGTGATAATAATAAAATGTAGGTATGTATATAGAGTACTCACTCATTTTCTTTCACTATTTTTTCGTGACTTTCTTCATTAATAATAAATGCACTTTGTTCATTCATATTCAAAATTTCAAAACACTTTATACACAAACACCGTGTCGAAGACTGAGGAAAAGAAACGACGTTAGACCATCGTTAGACAATGCACGGCCTTCAAGCCACACCTCCGTGCCCGTCGGAGAGAGGGGGGTTTTTTTCATTACGAAATTTCTGGATTTTCCCGCACTCAAGGCCCGCGATAGAAGCTATGCAATAGCTTAATATTTTTGCAACTAATTATGAACGAAGAAGATGATATTACTTCAGGTAAGTTACAATAGTGTTTGATTTACTGCAAATTTTTAACATGTTGAATACTGGGGTAAAAACCGTTTTGTATTTTTTATATTGTTAACCTAGTCAATGTTGGTTACAGTTGGAGACTTCTGTTGAAGATTCTGGTTCCGAATATCTCCCATCACCTACGCCCTCATCAGGCAATGACGACGACTCGGAAGAAGTCCAGCAATGCAGTATTAATTCAGCCACAACAACTTTACCACAGCCCATGCCAAGCACATCAACAGCAGAGCTTCAATTAAGCTTGTCTGAACAAGGGATCAGCTGAAACTACCAATGACACCCCTGTCCTCAAAAGCAGAAAGCGTGTAAAAAGGTCTGAGACTTGGCAGCGAAATGTGCTTAAGTTAAAACGAGCAAAAGGGCGAACAATATGAAAATCACAAAAAGGACGTTATTCCTGCGAAGACAGCCAAAATAGGGGAATGTCTATGTCCTAAAAAATGTCATCTGAAGATAAATGAAGACCGTCAGCTGGAAATATTCCGAAGCTTTTATGCATTAGCAAATTTTGACATTCAAAATGCATTACTGTTCTCGTTAGTTAGAGTGACCAATAAATGCAGAAGCTACACAGGAAGAGAGGACTCAAGAAGACAGAAAACACATATCTATCATTTACTGAATTATGATGGTGTTGGAGTTCTGGAATGTAAAAAGTTTTTCCTGAGAACTTTTCAAGTTTCTGACGGACGTGTAACTAGGGTAATTAAGCGCAAAAGTGTTCACAATGTCCCACCTATTGATCAGAGAGGTCGACAAAGTTCTGTAAACAAAACACCAGATAATAAGATAGCAGAATTAAAAGAATTCATCTGCAAGTTTTCTGCCTATGAGTCTCATTACACTAGACATAAAAGTGAGAATAGGAGATTTCTATCACCAGATATAAGCCTTGGAAAAATGTATTCTCTCTATAAAGAAAATGTACTTGAACCTTTATCAGCTTTCATGTTCAGTAAAATTTTTAACGAATGTTTTAACCTACGTTTCCATGCACCCATCAGTGATTCTTGTAAAAAATGTGACCTTTTCCATAACAAAATTAAATGCGCTGAGAGTGAACCTCTAAAACAAGAGTTACAACGTGAACAAGAATTACATCAGAGGAAAGCAGACAGTGCCAGACAAGGGCTACAAGATGATACGGCTTTGGCAAAATCATCTACTGATATTACTGTTATTACTTTTGATTTAATGAAAACCCTACCTACGCCTGTGTTGACGACTGGAATAGTGTATTACAAGAGGCAACTTTGGACTTTTTGCTTTGGTATTCACAACATGGGGACAGATGATGCCTACATGTTTGTTTGGGATGAGTCTGATGCTTCGCGAGGACCACAAGAAATTGGTTCTTGCCTGCTTTATTTTTTTTAAACATTATGTGAAAACTAAAAAAGTTGTCATGTATTCTGACCAATGTGGTGGGCAGAATAGAAACATAAAATTGTCATTGTTCTGTCAGTATATTGTATCTCACCCGGATTTTACTATTGAAGAAATAGACCATAAATTTTTAGTCAGTGGGCATTTTTATTTGCCATGCGACCAAGATTTTGGTCTCATAGAAAAAAAATAAAAAATTCTTTAAAGAAATTTACGTACCGGAAAACTGGCTTGAAGTAATTAAAACTGCACGAAAAAGGCAACCGTTCAAGATAATAAGAATGACAGCAACTGATTTTCTATCAAGTAAATCCCTAGAAAAAAATATAACCAACAGAAAAATTTCAGTGAGCAGCACCAAGGTGGAGTGGCTAAAAATTCCATAAAGTCCACCCTTTTTCAATTTTTTACAAGTATTCCAACAATGAGGAAGCACTCTTTGATGAAGTCAGTGTAAAAAAAGGCAGTCGGTGGCCTTAACACAACTAGATACATTGGAAAAACCAATTATTGCTGAAAAAAAGAAAAAAGACCTTCTTGAACTTTTGCAGTTCATCCCACCAGTTCATCACACTTTTTATAAAACACTAAAAAGTTCCAACAGTGTCCAGGATGAAGCTTATTATGATGAAACAGATGAAGATTAACCCATTATTATTGTTTTCTTTAATAAACGTGCTCTGAAATGGTGTAATCTGTCTATTATTTTGATTTTGACCCAAATAACATAAATGCAGAAGTGGAGTAACCCGCATATTTTTCTTTATTATTAGTTTAAATTTTATAAAAGTAAACAACTATTGTTGATTTGGAAGTTCTTTTTATAAATAAAAAATAAAACATTAAAAAACATTTAAAAAAAATAAAAATGTTTTTGCAAATTTTAAATCCTTCCATTTCTCCTATTTGCACTGTCGAGGGTTACATCACTTTTGCGCTGATAGCCTCATATAGCCTAGATCACTCATGACATTGCCTTCTACCCGTTTGTGAAGTTTCAATCGGTTCAGTCATTTTTAGGATTAACCCGCATAGACAGACAGACGGGTAATCAGACAGACGGGCAAAAATTTCAACTCAAAGTAAGACAGTGATTTCAATATACAGGCAGGCACTTCAATTTTATATATAGATATCGATGTATAGATTTGTATCGGCCACTCTTACTGTAGCACACCACTCAGCCGGGCAGCGCTTGAGAGCAGCCGCGGCAGAGCAGAGCGCGCTCACGACTATGCACTGTAGTGCTTCAAAACGATGCAACAGCTGCAGCCGTGTGATTCGACACTGCAGCACTACGGTGCGGCAGGTGCGCGCGGTGCAGCGCTACAGCGAGTTACTTACCCAGTCGGCGGCTAAGCGCAGCAGCTGCTGCGCTGTGCGCGCGCTCGCGCTCGAGCGCCGAGCGCTGCAGCGCTGCCAGCTGCGCGAGCAGCGCGGCGGCGGCGCCGTCCCCGCAGCGCGCGCACTCGGCCGCCTCGCTGCCGCCCGCCTCCCGCGCTTCCCGCGCCTCCGCCAGCTCGCGCCGCAGCGCCTCCTCGCGCGAGATCCAGCGCTGCTCCTCTGTATACGGTTTATTCACTTTGTTATTTGCAATGTAAGTGACTGTGATAGTCGTGTTGCTATGTTGCACTCCTTTGCATTTTCTATCGCATTTACCACGGAGTGTTCAGAAAAATTGTTGGAATGGTTTCCGCCGCCTAATTTCACCAACACACATCGCGACATAACCCATGTTACTATTCACATTATTTGGATACTTCGCGGTCCACTACTTTGTTTTTTACTAGGAGTTTTGTGCCTCACATTATGTGGAATTGTTTACCACCGGCGATTTTTCCCCAATGATACGACTTAGGGACCTTCAAAAAACTAGCATACTCCTTTTTATCTGGTGTTGCAGTTGTTTTGCTCGTTTGCACCCTCTTCTATAAAAAATACTACTCTTTGTCTATACAACATGCAACAAAAAGCCTGTTTTCCGATAAATGCATTTACAGAATCAGTATTCAAACATAGAAATAACTTTCTTTCCGAAAACTCGACCATTCAAAAATTAAATTGAAATAATTGATAGAATCAGGCGTTACTTTGCGGAAATCCATTATAATAAAAAATAAAAAAATATATTTCTTCTCGCTAAGCCGTAGAGTCTACATTACCTGAAGATGCCTCGTGTAGAGGCGAAACACGTGTCGTATTATCGTCGATGGTGTGTCTCGCCTGGAATAGTGGTGTTGGGATTAGTGGTGCTAGGATTAGTGGTGACGGAGTTAGTGCATGCAATTGAGGGAGGGCGGGAGGTGCTCTTCAATCCAGGTAAGACACATCATTGTATTTGTTTAGCGGAAGGTTGCGAAGAAATTTATATTTTTATTTTTTAATTAAATTGAATTTAAATACATTTTGATTTATTATATTGGTATGCGATTTGCGCTTAGGTTATGCGGTACGTAGTACTATTATGTATTCTGTGCTATGTGTGACCACACATGACCCCGAGTGTTATGTTTGTAGTACCGCCATCCGCCGTGCTACAGCGCCAAGGTCTCCGTGCGAGACGCGGGGGTGAAATCTTAAATTTTGCTGGCTTAATACGCCCTCTTAAGTAAGTACCCTTCACTCTCTTGTACACTTTGACTTCTTTGAATATAACTCACCTTTCTTCCTATCTACTCGCAGCTGCTGCAACTCCGCCCTCAGTTGTTCGGCGTCGCGCTCCGCTCGCTCTCTCTGTGCTCGCTCACGCTCGCTCGTCGCTCGACAGCGCTCCAGATCGCCGGCTCCCCGCTGTAGCTCGTTCAACTCCCGTCTCGCCGCATCCAGCGATGTGCGAGTGCTGTCCAGTCGTTGGATCGTGTCGTCTAGTGCACTTTTTGTCTGTAACACAACGCTGCAGCTATATTACGGTTGTAGCACGAATGGGTCCACGCTCTCACAGAGTACCAGAGTAAAATAGCAGCTTCGTGATGCTGTTTCGTATGGTGAGTGTAGAGAACTGAAGACCTTTTTTACTGGAATCTAGGCATTCCATCCTGGGCCTGGCGGGTGACAACACATCAGATTCATAATCAAGGATAGATGACGCATCAGGCGCATTATATATAAAAAAATTGATTTATGAGTCCGACAACTGATGAGAAAAATTATTCAGGCTTGGTGATAATTCACCTTCATTAAACTCTAAAACTCTAAGCTACAAGGTAACTAACAACGTGATAAGAATAATGATACAAATGGTCATAATGATGAGCAGTAAGACTTTAACGACAGATTTTCAGTACGGATTTCCCTTCTTGGTGTGTAATTTTACATAGATTATGATTAGACATAATGAATCATTAATAATACAAGTGGTAAAATAAAAAATTTGTAAAAAAATTTACAATATCAATGTAGTCTTGATCAAATTTATACGCGATTACATGAGAAGTACCAGCTTTTAAATAAAAAAAAGAATCATCAAAATCGGTTCATCTGCCATCTGAAGTTCTGAGTCAACACACCTCCTCCTTTTTTTAAGTTGGTTGAAAGACACTTTAAACTGTTTTGCATTTGCATAGTATAATCTTTGTCAGCCCGTAAATCTAGATTCAAGAGATGGATCGTGAACTTGCGATCACAGTGTCGGACATCTCGCACCATTCACGCCACTCCCAGTTGCCAGTCTGAATATTTTAGGTCGAGTAGAAACGAGATGGTTATCAGGATTATAACCATTTCGTTTCTCTCCTAATATCTCTTGACCTAATCATTATAGCCTTTCATCATCATCACAAGTCCACTACTGAACACAGACCTCCATAAGGAATGCCAAAAGCAAGGTCCTAAATCACCTGCATCCATCGACTTCCTGCATCTCTTACCAGGTCGTCACCAGGTTCGCTTACCGGTAAAAGGATGCATATGGTTTTGAGATGTAGTACTTCCCTGTTGGCTGTATGAGAAAGCTCAAAGTCACTCAGCAAGCTATGAAGAGAGCTATGATCGAAATTTTTCTGCGTGATAGAACATAAAATGAGGATATCCGCAGTAGAACCAAAGTAACCGACATACCCCAACGGATTAGTAAGCTGAAGTGGCAATGGACCGGCAATATAGCTTGAAGAAACGACAACCGATGAAGAAGAAAGGTTCTCGAGTGCCAACCTCGAGATAGTTATACTAGCATTTATTGAAGGGATCTTTCTATTATTTCCTATCGTTACCTCCTCGTTAACCCACGGGATGAAATTGGATGATTTGTATGATGGGTTCTCTTAAACTATCACTTCACGGCTTTGTAATGTAATATACTAATACAATACAGATGGTATGTGCTTTCATAATCATATATTCACAAGAATATTACATTGATTTTGCCTGTTCATTGACTATTCGCAGTGCATGTGAGTCATGTCATTATAAATACAATTTGATAATGAGTTATTAGGTGTTATCGTGTCTAAGTTCTTTACGCGATTCAATAGGTGCCGACTGAAATTATCGCAGTAATTACGTTTCTGACCTTATATGATTGCAATGTGTTATCTGTTATAGTACAGAAAAGTTACAGCCTATATACATCCAACGCTGCAGCTACATTATAGTAGGACCACAAATGGGTTTCAACTGAGGAAGGCCCACGATTTCAGCTTAATACTGCTGTTTCGTATTGTTAGTATAGAGAACCGAAGAATCTTTTACTGGAAATTATGCTTTTCATCTTAGTCGACAACCGGGTATTCGTTCATCACCCTTATTCGTTTAAAAATAACCCCGATAAACTTGAAAGCATTATCAAAAGGCACACACAACACGATTGACATCTGTGTAGCGAACATTTGATTTTCGGCGACCCCTATTTATATTGACCTTGAACTTATGCCAACCGCAACCGTCTTAACAAGCGAGAGGTCATTTTATAATGCAGCAGTGCGATTTTATAATGCAGCAGAACTCTTCCGAAAAAACGAAACGCCAAAACGTGCTCAGACTACCGCACTATCAGCTTGATGAGCCATGTTCTAAAACTCTTCCTAGCCATAATTCACCATCGCATAAGACATAAGTGTGAGGAACAACTAGGAGTCACTCGATTTGGATTCCGAGCTGGAATTGGTACAAGAGAAGCCCAGTTTGCGTTAAATGTTCTTGTACAAAAATGTTATGATATGCAACAAGATGTATACATATGTTTCATAGATTATGAGAAGGCTTTTGACCGTGTTAAGCAAGACGTTCTTATACACATTTTGAAGACCATCGGCCTTGATACGAAAGACATACGCATAATCCAAAATCTGTATTGGCAATAGAACGCAAACGTAGGGGTGAAGGAAGGTTTTACCGACTCAATCGCTGTCCAAAGAGGAGTACGTCAGGGATGCATTTTGTCGCCTCTGCTATTTAATCTGTACTCGGAGAATATTATAAACGAAGCGCTAGAAGATGTTGAAGAAGGAGTCCTTGTCAATGGCCAACTGATTAACAAATTGAGATACGCTGACGACACTGTTCTTATTGCATCTTCAGAACAAGGTCTTCAAAAAAATACTAGACCGCATAATCGAGTGCAGCACAAAATCAGAACTAAATACAAACGTGTCTAAGACCAAAATCATGGTAGTTTCGAGAGCGCCAAAGCAGTGTAGTGTATGTATAGGACAAGATAGTATTGAACAAGTTCAGAAGTACCTGTATCTTGGATCTTGGGTAACTGATTCTTGGGAGAGTGACATGGAAATACGAGTTCGAATTGAAACTGCAAGAGCCTCTTTCATGAGGATGAGCAAAGTCCTTACTACAAGGAGACTATCAATCGAACTACATACAAGACTCATGCAATGCTATATTTGGCCTGTCATACTATACGGATGCGAATCTTGGACTATGAAGGAAGATCTCCGTAGGAAACTAGAAGCATTTGAAATGTGGATGTATCGCCGTATGCTCCGAATAAGTTGGACAGACAAAGTTACTAACATTGAGGTCCTCAAACAGATGAAAAGGAATGAACCCCTACTTGTCAAAACCATCAAACAGAGAAAAGTTGCGTACCTAGGACACGTGCCTTAGGCATGAACGTTACCAACTGCTGCAGACTATTGTGATGGGCAAAGTAGCGGGTAAAAGAGGTGTTGGTAGAAGGAAAATGTCGTGGCTATGTAACATCCGGAAATGGACTGGGATAAAGAAAGTTGAAGATCTGTTCAGGCTAGCCATGAACAAAGAAGAATTTAGAAGGATGACTACTGACCTTCAGTAATGGAGAGGCACTTAAAGAAGAAGAAGTGCGATTGGTGGGAATCACTTCGCAATTGTGAACCATTTGTAACCTAAATAAGATATTAATTTGACAGCTCCGTGGCGCAGTGGCTTACCAACGAGTTGCAGCGCTGGGGGCCGCAGGTCGAATCCCGCATGGAACAAGTATTTGTATGGCTTACAAATAATTGGTCCGGCTCTGAATGTTTGTCCTAGTGAAATTTATGTATGGAAACTGCCTCCACGATATATGAGAAAAACTTAGTGTGGAGGAAACGTTTTTAAAAATGAAGATAATATATAAAAAGAGGACTTATTTACGGTACGGACTACGAATACATTTACATAACAATATCCAAACCCAACGTCAAACCTCAAAAGGACGCCAAGCACGACAATATTAGGTTATCATTATCAGTTTACCAGGAGTTTTCTTCCTTGCACGACTTCTTTGTGTGAACTGTTTACCATCGGCGATTTTTCAGGCCCGATACGATTTAAGGACCTTCAAGAAACAAGCTTACTCCTCTTTAAAAGGCCTGCACCAACAATGGCAACGCACCTGCAATCCCCTGGTGTTGCAGTTGTTCAAGGATGGTCAACATTTACCATCAGGTGAGCCGCATGCTCCCCTTCCCCACTCTTCTATAACAAAAATATAATTCAATCATTTTATTATACATGGAGGTGATCGCTTCCAAGCTGTAACAAACTTCGAATATAGTCCAGATGGGATTCTAGCTTCTTTTTCGCAGGACAGAGGTCTTTTCCGAACCAGTGATAAAAGTAAAAAATGAATTTTAATACGAATTATTTATAATCTTATAATTTTGAATATAAACATATTCTATTCTGTTCACGACTTTAACATAGTTACACAACCACACTGCAAGAATAGAATCAATATTTTTATCGCCATCACATTATACTGTATTGTTAATGCGGTTGTTTTTTATACACACAATGACCAAGCCCTGACTTCTGAAGCTGTTATGTCGAAATTATTTGATTCCTTTTAGTTCTTTAAAGTCGGCTTTCACTTCTTGTAAAAACTGTAATTTTCTACGATTTTCAGTGGATGGAATATCACAAGCACCAATTTCGTCTAAATAGACCAAAAACTTCATTCCTTATTTTTTCACCCATAGTGGTGGAATTTTTTCGAAAAAGGAACATACAGTAGAATTGAGGATTTTTCAATAAAATAGTTATCTTTCATCAAGATATTACATATTATATATTTAGTAGTTGTTTTTTTTTAAATATATATTCTGTATCATCCAAACGTACCTTTACACAATGAACTGATAAAAACTTTGAAAACTATTATTACAACATTGTTCACTATTTCGTACGAATAGTCAAGGCCTCCGTGGCGCAATCGGCTAGCGCGTTCGGCTGTTAACCGAAAGGTTGGTGGTTCGAGCCCACCCGGGGGCGAGGAATACTTTTTGTTAATAAATCAGATTCATTGGTTGAAACAACTGTGTTGATTTGTCATAGTTGCTAACAAGTAAACGGAGATTAGAAAAACTAAAGAAATTTCTTGCTAAACGTATAAAACACACACTTAGCTCGGAATCGGAATAAAGCAATATTTATTTTATATTACAAATTCAAAATATATAATATATATTTTTTTTAATTAAAATGTGTAAATTTAAATTATCTTAAAAGATTAACAAAGAAAAAATAATTTGTTTAAAAAATTATCACCAACTAATTCAAATCGTATCAAAGCTTATCCGTGTCCATTTGTATTTACAAACTTTCAAACTACTTGATGAATTCTGATGCGGTTTTCGCCATAGCTGAAAGAATTGGATGTATATTTAATGTAAGGGCAACCACGTCCCATAGCCTTCAGACAAGTACACAGCAGTGCAAGCACTGCTATTTGACGGCAGTAATGGGCAAGAAGGTGGTGATGGGGAACCTACCCCGACGTACTCTCCTCGGCAAAACAGGAATCCTACCATCTAGAAGGCTCGCGTACTGTGTTTACGGCCAGCTCTAAGCCCCTGATATACCACAACTTCATGTATTTTTTATAGAATAAGGGTGACAAAAAAGCACACAGTCCACCTGATGGTAAGTGGATGCTGTAGCCCATAGACGTCTACTTTTATCCTCATTTTAAGAATCAAATTGTTAGTTACACCTAAGGACTAAGATGAAAAGCCTTGTTTCCATAAAAAGGATCTCCGGTTCTCTACACTCACCATGCGAAACAGAGTAGTATTAAGCTGCTATTTTAAACTGGAGTTTTGGGAGAGCGTGGTCATGTCCCGGTCGGGCCGATCCATTCGTGCCACAATCATAATTTAGTTGCAGAATGACTCTACCACGTATAAAATAGTGAAAATATAGAATTTAATAATAATTTTCTCCAGTCCGAATTTCAGTCACGCAGAGCAGAATTATAGTGCCTGAGTGATTACACGCACAGGTTCGCTCTTCATTGCCTTACTCTCATAGAATAGAATAGAATAAATTTTTATTCGATGTAGATTACAAGTAATTCTTATTGAAAGTCAATAAATTTACGTTACCACTGGTTCGAAAAAAAACCTCTGTCCTGGGAAGAACCAGCAAGAAACCCAGCGGGACTTTTTTTTAAATAAATTTTACAATGTCAAGGGTCAGCAGTCTAGAAACAGCTTGGAAGCGACCACCTCATTCCCAGAAATAGCCTAATGGGACGGCAAACCGAAGCGACCGGAGTGATCCGGCTCAGGATATACGGTTTACCGTGCTTTGCGAGGCACAAGATCGAAACACCACCAATTCCTCGGCTATTAACTGAGAATGTCTAAACAGAAAAAACTAAATAAAGGATTTTGTTGACCCAACTCGATATTCATAAATTAACTAAAACAACGAGGCAGTCAATATATAACATAAACGCATTTGATATACATACTCATACTTATTGATAGCCGTAACACTACAACGTATTTAATTTATAAAAGGTGTCGCTAAGTGACTAGGTCACAAACAATGTTGTACTGTAAACATTACATTTTATGGATTTTATTTTACATGAACTTTAAACAGTGTGATAAGCTGATAAACAAACCTTTTTTTTATATAAAACTAGAGATTCGCCCCGGCTTCGCACGGGTGATTTCTGGATCTCGACAACAGCGCCACCTACCGGGTCCAATTATGAATCTAAACCATCCACGGATCCACTCCAACACACACAAAAAAATTCACAAAAATTCGCTCTAGGTATATTCCAACTTTTGCGAGACTAACGAACTACAATCGATCTTTAAATATATAAAATAAGAGTGACCAACGAACACACAGTCAACTTGACGATAATTGCGCCACCATTTACGTCTGTCCTTGATTAAGAATCAAAATGCAGATGCGTTGACACCCCAGTGGACTGAGATGGAATGCCACATTTAAAGGGTCTCCAGCCCAAAAAGGGTCTCCGGTTCTCCACACTCACCACGGAAACAGCTACTGCTGCTATTTCATTCTGGTGTTCCGTGAGAGCGTGGTCCTTCCCCATTTAGCCAACCCATTCGTACTGCGACCGTACTACAGCTGCAGCGTGGCTCTACCACGGAAGAAAAGAAGAGTTCGTTTTTCACTTCTATTTGAGAGAAAACTTAAAAGTATTATAACTAAATTTCCGTATGTTTACCTTTATGTTCACCTTTACAAAATACACATTTTATGCGTGTTAGAACAGCGCTGCAGCTATAATATAGTTGTAGCACGACGAGATGTAATATAGTTGTCCGGGGAAGGACCAGGCTCTAATACAATACCAACGTAAAATAGTAGCTTAAGGGCCGATCCTCATTTGCCGTTCACTGTTTCGTAAGGAGAGTGTAAAGAACCGAAATCTATTTTACTGGAAACGAGGCATTCCACCTTAATCCTCAGGGCCACTGCAGCCACAAGGCCATTGCATCCACTTACCATTAGTTGGACTGTGTGCTCGGTTGTAACCACAGAAATCGTAATAATAAGACAATAGAAGTAGACGTGTGACCTTGTCGCCGCTTATGATGTGTTGAGGAACATCATTCACCATTTTGTGATTTAGTTGCGCGAGGAACGTCGTAAGTGAATTTATGTTATTATAAAATTATAATGGTGAACTGCAGCATAATCAGTTGTAAAATCTCATCAAGGACGTGTAATTCAACTAATAAAGGCATAGCATTTCATGGGTAAGTTGATTATTTACTAATTATTATTGTTTTAACTAATTTCCATCTAGATGAATACTTTACTATGATATTTACCTTTGTAAACTTTCATTTATTACTTTTCGTATTGTACAATTACCATTGCTGCTTTTGTTTTACCGTAATACGCGACACACGCGATGTTGACAAGCTCCCCAAGCAATGTAATGTGAAACATTAGATATCATTGCGTATGTTTATAATACGGTAAGATGTCGCGACATCGGTTTTGGAAGGAATCGAGCGCTAATTCGTTTCTATTGTCTTATTATTACTATTTATGTGGTTGTTACTCTTATTCTATAAAAATATTTTAGTAATAATACCTCGATTATACTTGTTTAGCTATTTACATAACGATGATTAGATTTTGTGTTTTAAGCTGTTCCAATATTATACAAAACTAGTCTTATGGAATTGATTAAAACTGAATAAAATACGTATATAACAGGTTATTGCGAATGTGTTATCAATAGCGAAACTATTTATTATTTTTAGTAAAACTGCCACAGCCTCCGTGGCGCAATCGGCTAGCGCGTTCGGCTGTTAACCGAAAGGTTGGTGGTTCGAGCCCACCCGGGGGCGGGAAGTATTTTTATGCGTATTAAATAAAAAATTATTATTATTATATAAATTGTATTGTTACTCTGTATTTAGGTAAGTTTATTTTTTATTCATTTGCAATTTTTACATTATTTTTTGTTACCTAATGTTAAAATACAGGTACTTATGCCAAAAACTGCTAAGATATTATTCGGCACTATAACAGTGCTGCGGCAATTTGAGTCAGTTATTGTTTCGTTGCTGCAGTCCAATATTATTTATTTCCTTCTTTCTTTCTAATTATAAATAATATTTCTCAACAAAATAGATACAAATTGTTGCCTCTCATAAATAAGGAAAAACTGTTTTTCTTTACATTATTTTTTAATTATGGGGCAAGTGCATGTTCAGCAGTCGACTGTTTTCCATTCATTCATTCATTACAGCCTGTCAAAAGTCCACTGCAGAACATAGTAATCTCCCATAGATTGCCTCATTGGTGTCTATTTGCCGTAGTTGCCACGCTTGGCGGGCGGGTTGGCAACCGCAGTTTTTTATTATATTTAGGTTTATGAGGAAGACGCTGCTGCTCATCTCCTGCTTTATTTCCTTCTATCGCCTCTGGTAGCGGTAGTGGATTTGGATACTCTCCACCACTACACAGCGGTAGACTATTACAGGCTGATAAAAAGATATAACAGGAAACAATTCATATACTTAAAAACAGTTGCCTATCCAAATTAAATATATTAAACCAGGTCCCATGCATATTTTTATTTGGCTATCTAAGCAATCTAGAAGCTCAGCTTTGCTAGCTGGCATGTATCTGTAAATACATATATTTTTAATTTTTTTAGGATAGGGTGACAAACGAGCACACAGTCCACCTGATGGTAAGTGGTTGCTGTGGCCCATAGCTATCCTCGAAAACGAAGCAAAATGTATATGCGTTGTCACCCGTGAGGACCAAGATGGAATGCCTTATTTCCAATAAAAAGGGTGTCCGGTTCTCTACACTCACCATACGAAACACAGCAGCATTAAGTTATTTTATGCTGGTATGCTGTGATATCCAGTACTGAGCTTAAAAAAAGCTGTTGTCAATAACGATGATGACATTTGCTTACCTCAACCAACTCGGTCTCCATCTTTTTATTCGCGGTGGTAAGCCTGTAGACTGCTTCTATCTGGCTCACTTCAAGCTCTTCCTTTGCCGCCAGAGATCGCTTTAGGCGATCCAGCTCTGCCGTGAGCTCTGCTGCTTTATCCCTGGGTAATAATTGCAATTTTTTTAATATATTGCGAACAAAAAAGTATCTGAATTAATAATAAATAAGATGAGAATTGGCTGCCTTAGCAATAATCCCTACATATAACAGTTATTTGACGTTATAAACCTATTTTATGAGATTTATATGAATTAAAAAATTATAGTTCAATCATCATCATCATCATTAGCTTAATTACCTCCGCTGACGTCGGGTCACATGTTAGGGAGGCTTGAACTTAACCGCCACGCTGCTTCGCATCGCTGGTCCTGGCATTTTACGTCTAGCGTAAACGAAATTAATATCATCAAGTCCATTCATCTATCGTGTACGCCATTTAGCGGTAGTTATAAGATTTTACTGAAATTTCCCATAGTGGACTGGCAAAATACCCACGGGATTTTCGCCATATTTGCCACGTACGTCATTAGCAACTGCAATTTTTATAATCTGAGCTGTTATCACAATAAAGCTGCTGCTCATTTGTTTCAGTCTCCTTCAGTCGCCTCTCATTACATCCATGATGATATAAGGTAGTGGACTCTCTTACACTGCCACCTAACGGCATCCTTAGGCTATTACAATACTCACCTTAAACTCTTAATAACTTGTTCATTGTCTTTCTCTTTGGCACGCAACTTCTTTATAATATTAGAGTGCTGTAATTCCTGGCGCGCCAGCTTCTCGCCCTCCTCTTGCAGCTGAGCGATCATTTCGTCTCGTTCCTTTATACCATTCTCTAGTTCCGAGGAGTTCTTACGAGTAGCTTCCGATTTCAGCTTGTCCAGTTCCTTCCTTAGCTGGTCCTATAAAGGCGGTAACTTCGGAATAAATATGAAATCTTGGTATACTTAAAAATACTAGAAGAAAGGGGGTTCTTCTAGTATTTTTTAAGTACCAATGTTTAGGAAAGGCACAATTTGTTTGTAAAAAAAACTTATTGTTTACAGAAACTAGAATATTATGACAATAGGAAATCACTTCTGAATTTATAAAAACAGAAAATACATAATATTTTTGTTATATTTAGGCAAATACCACACATTCAATAAATCTAGCTTTACAAATTTCGGGCGGTTGGTTTCGAAAACAAAATTCAATGAAGATAACTTCAGGGTAATATAAAACATATTCCATTTATTTATGAGTTCTTAAAAAATTCTTAAAAAAATACCATATCATAGATTTCAGAACACATCATAACTCCCACTCATTAAGGATTCAGTTAATACTAACACATTAAATATAAAAAGTAATTTAAGTGTGAAATCATCATATCACTGTCCATTATAACACATTCAAACATTTGTGTTAACATCAAAGATGTATTTAATATCAATTAGTTTAACAAATTTGCAATTGTTAAGAGATAATACTATCAGATTAATCATCAATAACAAGATAATAAAGTTGACAATGGGTTTAAGTTATTTTTTTAACCATACATACTCATACATACTCATATATATACTCATATATAATACTTTGAATATAATTTTATTTTTTCATTACGAATTTCATAATTTCCATCATTAATCTAGGTGACCTTAACCTAGGTAGGTAGGATCATTAATCTAGGTAGGAGGTACTGGTCAATAAAGGACATAGTAAAAAAGAAAAAGTATTATTTAAAATAATTTATGTAACAATTTGTATATTATTTATTCATTAGTAGTAGCATGCACTAAGTTTGCCATTTTAATATATTTTCCTCTATGGGTTTATTGGAAGATATTTCAGCAGATTACGGAAAAATTTGTACAAACTTACTATAAGACTGTTTCTGTATCTTGTTGTGTGTACATAAATAAATAAGTAAATCAAAGTTGCTGTAATATGAAATGCAACTAAATGCAGGGCACACTCAGGTCTACATCTAGTTATCTAACTGCCTTTGTGTTACCAAACAGCCTACAGTGTTTTGATTGTTATCCCCATCACTAGTCTTGTGTCTGCTCGGGCATTTTAAAGATCACTCTGTATCTGTACTAGTTCATTGCAGACCGTGAACTAGTAAACTAGTTCATTCTGTTAGTTCTATTCGATCATCAGTACTATTAAGCAGTTTAAACTGTATCAATCTGTATGGAATGGTTAGTCAAGTCTCAGTTAGTCAATATCTGTTCGAATTGTAATGTTGTTTGATCACTTGTACAAACACACCTGATAATTTCTTGGTCAATATAAAAGTCTAAAGCAAATTAGTGTTATAAAATATTTAGCATTAGTGAAATAATATCCTATATCCATAACATGCGAAAATAAAGAGCATCCAAGGAAGCAATCAGTATTAAAACAATAATAAAACTCCTAACACAAGCGCTTTAACCTTACCAGGAGTGGTTAAAAGGACTATTAGTAATGTTAATTAATAAGAAATACTAATATTTTTTATAAAAAAAAAACATAAAACACTCCTTAATAATTGTTATACCTTCAATTTTATTAAATTTTTACACAATGTGGAAGTGCCAAAATAAGGTATTGCAAATATTTGTAACTATTTATTAAGTATAATTATAATTAATAAATTATTATACTTATTCTTCTATAAAAATATTATATAAGTAGGTACAATAATTTGCAAACACAGTGAGTCTCACATCTTTTCGGATTATTAGCTAAATTAGACATTATTGCATTGCTATACCTAATTTGTATCTTTCTATAACATTTCATTGCAACGAGTTTGATCATCAGGCATTTATCCACTAATGTCCGAATGACACTCAGTGACTCTCTCATTTGCTCGCTCTTGTAAGCTGTCGTTCGCACGTACGGTCTGGCGTGGCGAAAAGAGCTATTATACCAATTAACAATCGGCATTTGAAAACATTTCAGGCTGGCTATAGATGTCCTGTACTTGATTTTAATAATGTATTTAGTTTAAGAGGCTTGTTAGGGTTAAGCTTGAACCTAATACACTGTGTTTAGATTTCGGAAATGCCTTTTGAGTTCGGGAGCATAAGAGCAGAAGGGCTGCACTTCGCCGCTGTTGCAGAAGTAGCATTGGGTCAATATGCTGTGTAAACAGTGAGGTTATAATTTTACAAAAAAAATCATTACTCATAAATTTTACATTTCCGCGAGGGGGGAAGGGTAGGGATTCCCCTAAACCCACCCCTCCTCCAATGCCTCCCACCCCCGTACGCAAGTACTGGATATCTATAGTCATTTATCATCCGTGAACTACACAAAATTACCCATTACTACATTTGACATGACATTTTGCATATACATTGCAATACACAAAACATTGTAAATATAAAATCACTAATCTAATGATGTCCAAGAAGGGTTCCTTCTAAATATTATAATTGTGGTCCTTAGTTTTACATCATATTTCCTGATATTTTATAAAATTTATAGTAATTTTTAAGAGTTAAAACCACTTACTTTATTTTAAAACTGAGAACATGTCAATGTGAATTGAAAGAAGTATGTTGGGAGTGACGCTAAAAGACCGCAAGAGAGCAGAAGATATTAGATCTACAACAAAGGTGGAAGACATGATTAAGAAAATTGGACAGTTAAAATGGCGATGGACAGGACATATGGCAACAGAAAGCAGGATAAAATGGATGCAAATCGTAACAGAATGGCAACCACGTGATGGCAAAAGAAAAAGAGGCAGACAAGCAAAAAGATGGACAGACAATACAAAGATTATTGGAAGGACGATCTGGTCAAGAAAAGCTAACAACCCTCCCATCCCAGCTAAATACGCAGCCCAAATATACAAACTCATCCACTTGCTCGAATAACTCCCCTTCTATTCTTTTTCACAAATCGTTTTACTTTTTTTTTCAAAAACCATAACCTTTGTCTTACTTGCGTACTTTCATACCCCTTTCTTTTAATGATCTGTTATTAATGTAACATTTGCAACTCGGGGAACGCAGATAAGCTTGATCATCGGCATACAAAAGGATTTGACGGTTAATTTTAACGTTCTTCAACTTTCAAATTTTGCAAACAACTGTCATAAATCACCCTGTCTGACCTTTGGATGTCAAACGGTACTGTTGTAACAAAAGTAGAGTCCCTATAAAGGATCCATCCTGTATCAGGCCCAATAAATTGTTTCCGAGGCTTAATACTTTAGTTTCCTAAATAGATGCATATTCAAAAAATGTATATTGAGTCAGAGCATGTCTCTGTCATATGGATGCTACAAGTTATTTTTATAAAACTGAAAAGACAAACTAACCTTCCACCTACTTTAAACAAAGAAGGAATATGTAGGAATGCCTCACAGCTTCTCATAATACCAGCTTTCTATAACCTTCAGAGAGAACACAGCAATGCAATCACCGCTATTTAGCAGGAGACTACTACACAAGTGAGAGCACTACATAAATGTATCCCTAGATAGAACTGGAGTATGTACCACTTTTTGTAATTGGTATTGTCCACCTAATAATTAAGTAATAAAAATATTAACTAACCTTTTCTCTAATGGCCTGCTGAAATTTCTTTTCCAAAGCTGACATTCGTTGAGTGTAATCTTCCGTAATTGTATTTATATCACCACCTTCGTTCTTTGCTAGCAATGACTCCAACTGACTTCTTAAGTGAGCATTACTTTCTACCAGTTCTGCATTACTTCTACTTACTTCCATCAGTCTACTCTCACGGGCATCTAATATCTCAGCCATTTCACACAACCTCCTCATAAGTCTATCATTTTCGGAACCTTGACTTTCATCACTGGTATTACTCTGCACTGATGTTTCTGACAGTTCACGAGTGTGGCCACGTATTTTAGTCGCTAATGATTTACCTAAGACCAAGTCTACAAGATTTGGAGAAGTTGTACCATCAAACTTTGACTGCTTGAAACTATATTTTCCTGGACTATTCCGACAAAAGCCATGGCCATTATCTCCATTAGGGCTTGGTATGATTTCAATATCAGATGATGTTGCAGTTTCTGCTTCATCACCCGAAGTGTGTCCCGATGTACGGTCTGATCCAATTTTTACTAAATCACTTTTACTGTCTGAGCTAATAGGCGATGTTCTTTCTTTAATACTACAATCCCTTTGTGATGATTCGCTGCTGCCTGGTGCACTACACTGCTGCTTCTCAACATTCACAAAAACTGAGCTTTCTGACCTTAAGAGATCTGTGGAAACATTGACATTATAAAATGATGATGAATCGCTTAATTTTTCCATTAGTGTATCCTCATGATCCATTTCTTTTCGTTGGTCGTCTATATTCTCAAGATTAATACTATCATTATCGGCATTCAGCGTTCGGTCTGACCAAGAGCCATCATTTGAAGAATTTTCACTAATGTGCATTTTTTGAGATAAATGTGGCTGATCTAAGTGGATTAACTCCTTTTCTGCAACTTTTTTGTGACATTCAATTCTTGTTTTTGGAAATGGACTGATAGGTTTTTCGTCAGTGTCTAACACAGTTGGTGCAGTACATTCTGAGATGGAATTATATGACATAGTATCTTCATCATCATCTGCTACCAAGCTAACACTTTCAGCTGTTTCAACTCTTTCCGTTGTCTCTCCAAGGGGAGTTGATTTTTTTTCTGACAAATCACCAGGTGAGAGGTTAGATGATGTACTTTTATCACTTGAATAACTATCGAAACCGAGACATTCTATAGAACTAGGACTGATTAGACTATCTGGCAGTATTTCTACAGACTCAGAAGTTTGCTTTTGTCCTGTACTACTACTATTTGAAATTGAATGTATTGATGCTTCAGAGTCTGGGGTAGTCTTTAAACTGTGTGATAAAACTTCAACAGAGTCTGAGCTGTTTCTACTTGAAACAAGGGACAATCTATGTGACAAAGACGAACTACGCCTGTCATCCGCTTTGGAATTTATATCATCTTTCTTAGTTTCCAAACACTCTGCTCCATCGGACATAACCAACTGACTTCGTGAAAATAAATCATCTTGGCTATCATATTTAGCATCAGCGATTACATTCATAGATTTCGCTTTAGGTGGTTGAACAATTGCAGATTCATCTTCACGTGTTTTTGGTTGCTCAAAGAAAGAACCGGCGAAAGATCCCCACAAACTTTGAGAGTTTGACTTTGATGGACTCTCAGTAACCACAGGTTGTTCTTTGATCGGATCTTTTGAACTTTCAGCACTCGTTGTCAGCCCCCATGACGCAAAGAAATCTGAATCTTTTTGAGGAGTATTTCCGCTACTCTTAGATTTTGTTTTAGCAAGCACTGGATCATCCTGCTCTTCACTACTCTCGTCTTGTATATCTAAAGCTTTGTCAATAGTTTTCTGAGCCTCTTTCAGTGCAGTTTTAGCTAAGCTTGTCAGCCCTGATGTATCAAACCAATTCATTTTGGCAAAACATTAGACACAATATGCACAAATAATTTTATACAAATACTATTACAACATTTTACATCAGGAATCATAAGCTAAATGATATTATAAACGTAACCACAACATACACTAACTAAAAATGACGTTTACTGACGTTTACGTTTTATATTCCATTTTGTGTTTACGTTTTGTTTTGTGAATCTTGCAATCAGTTTCTACACTTGACAAACGCTGACAATATTATAAACAGAAGAGTAAAATATTAGTCTAATAATCTTATTTCATATTTATCTTGTGTGCTTATAGGTTCTATGATCGCGTTTGACTTATAATTATCACGAAAAAGGACATCATTTGACCTAAAAATTTTGTGTTGAATTAATATACAAATTTCAACATCTCATTCATAGCTCCAGTGGCGCAATTGGTTAGCGCACGGTACTTATAAGACAGTGTACGTGTGAGTAATGCCGGGGTTGTGAGTTCGAGCCTCACCTGGAGCAATTCTTTTTTAGTATCACAAACGCTAACATTTTTTTATATATATATAATCACAATTTCACAATCATATTAGAAATACTGATCTTCCCATTCCCATAAGTTACAATATTGCACAACATTAATTAATTATCTTATATTACATAACATGGAAAAATATACAATATTAAAAAATTGTAATAATTATAATAAATTAACGGCTCCGTGGCGCAGAGGCTTAGCAATGAACTGCAGTGCTAGTGGTAGTTCGAATCCCGCAAAAATTAATTATAATGTATTTGTACTTTTTATGGCCTACAAATAATTGTTATTAATCTGGATTCTGGGTGTTCGTCCTTGTAAAATTTGTGAATGTAAACTGCCTTTACGATACGGGAGAAAATCCTAGTGTTGAGGTAACATTTAAAAAAATACCTACCTTGCCCTCGCATTACAGAGCCAAGAATCTCTCTATGGCTTTTTTTTAAACAAATATTTTTATTATAATGAATGTAGGTACAAAAAAATCAGGTGGTATAGTTTTTTATGAATTCTTGTACATTTTGCCTTAATATAGCATGCAAAATGAACAGTATCTAGTCAAAATAATTTTTTTATTGTTAGTTAAGTACTTATCGAAAAAAACTAGCCCCCAGTGGAAACGGCCAGCACTTTTAGAAACTTCAATTTTCTCAGAGATTCATATTTGCGCCATTTTCGCCACTCATGCTGCCACGATCCTAACCGAGGTAAGAATAAGATTTTTTTGCATTGGGAGCATTAGACTATGAACTGCAGTAGGTAACAACTCTGCCTGCAACAAAAAGCATAGGCAACTAACTCTGTCTGTGCTTTTAGGTGCTGCCGGTCCCAAGCCCGGAAAAGAGGAGGGAGCGGTTCAGCCGGAGAGAGTGGGTGTATCCGGTGGACTAACACACCTACCTGTGCTAGGACCTGCGCAGTTGAGGGCCGTATGCGGGGATGAAGGAGTCCTGGAGGGTTAAGCCGAGCGTCAATATATATACCCCATATAGTGTCGAGAGGCAACACGCCCTCTTTGGTCCGGATTTCAAGCTAAACTGTGGCCTTATCTGCTAGCCACGAATAGGGAAATGGCCAAGCGTCCCGTCAGAGGGTCGCAGGCGAGGGGTGTGGGGGCTGCCTAGTCTCCCTGAGGGCTAGGTGGTGGTAAAGGCCATGCTGACGGAGAAAGTGAAAGTCTACTCGGGCAGTGGGGATGGGCCTTTTCAGCCCTATCTGCCAGCTGGACGCCTGAAATTCTTTTAATAAAGTAGGGCGTTCCCAAAGTTGCGGGCTCCATGGAGGGTGGGAAGCCGGGGGGACGAATTATTACACATTTCAAAAACTATAGACAACACATGGCCCATTAGTAGAGTGGGAGACGTGTCAGAGGTGATTACCTTATACACTGATAAACCAGAATGAACCGCCGTTAAACCTGCCGTTCCACAGACTATACCACCCAGCGTAGGTGGCCCCACCAAGGGGGCAATTTCCGCGCTGGATGTTTCTAAAACCAGTTCCAAATCCAAGGAGTTGGACGCGAAAAATGAGCAAGGGGCCGCGAGTGAAAACTCCCGCGGAGGCCAAAAGAACCGAAGACCTTGAAATAATACTAGTTTTTACGGAATTTATCGCGTATAATTATGTTTTTTAGGATTTTGTCGCGTTTATTTTTACTTTTTTTTTTAATTCCCGACGTTTCGGGCGCTTTCCAGCACCCATGGTCACGGGGGACTGAGATGACTGACGTCCCAATGTCATATGTTAAACCCGGAGTACCTTCAGCTTTTTTAATTATTGAATTTATGGTCCGATCTACGCAGAATGAACTGACTATGTTCCTGAGGTCTTGCAGTGGTATGCTTGGGTTTGGATTTAATTTTATTTATTATAGGATCCCAAGCAGGTGGTAGTACCCAGCCATCTTCTCTATTGAAATTAGGATGTTTTTTGATTTCAATAGCCTCGCGTATCATCCTTGGAAGGAATCGGTGTTCTTTCGCGAGGATTTGTGGTCTATCAAATCTGATGTAGTGGTTGGGGCCGTCGTACGATATGATCACAGACTGCAGACTTCCCGGAACGTTGATTCTTCACATCAGCTATATGTTCTTTTACGCGGGTCCTAATTGATCTTTTGGTTTGTCCTATGTAAGAGAGACCACATTCACAATCAAGCTTGTACACTCCTGCATCTTATGGAGAGGAATATGACACTTGACGGATGGTAGGAACTGACTAATCTTCTTCGGCGGCTTGTAGAATGTTCTAATAGAAGCTCGCTTCAAAATATAGCCAATCTTGTCTGTGACACCTCTGACATATGGTAGTACAGCAGGTACACGCTCGACTGTGGCCGGCTTCACTCGGTCACTATGACGTAGGCGCGGGACCCGAAGCTTGTTGTCGTGCAGAACTTGCTTGACGTGCTGAAGCTCGGCGGCCAGGTGTTTGCTGTCACAGATCCCTCGTGCTCTCTGTAACAAAGATTTGCCCACGGTAGCTAACTGTGAAGGATGGTGGTGAGATTCACCGTTTAAATATCGGTTTGTATGGGTCTTTTTCATATACACAGTGTGACCAATAGTGTTATTAGGATTTCGGATGACTAACACATCTAGGAAAGGTAAGGAATTATTATTAGAACTACAATCAATAAAATTAAAACTAAACCCAAGCATACCACTGCAAGACCTCAGGACATAGTCAGTTCATTTTGCATAGATCGGACCATAAACAATAATTAAAAAAGCTGAAGGTACTCCGGGTTTAACAATGACATTGGGACGTCAGTCATCTCAGTCCCCCGTGACCATGGGTGCTGGAAAGCGCCCGAAACGTCGGGAATTAAAAATAAAAAGTAAAAATAAACGCGACAAAATCCGTAAAAGTAGTTTTAATCATGTGCAATGTTCGCGTAAATATAAGAAATCATTATCGCGTATATTTAACTTTTTTAATTTTAGTATTTATAGGGTTATGATGGTCTAAAAATGCAGTTACTTTATCTAAAGGTAGAATTGTGAAAGTGTCGTCTACGTACCGCTTGTAGAATCTTGGATTTATGGGAGAAGTAAGCAGGGCTTTCTCCTCAAAGTCTTCCATGAATATGTCGGCGACAATGGGAGATACAGGTGAGCCCATCGCGACACCATCCACTTGCTTGTAGAACTCCTCCTTCCACATTAGGTAGCCAGATGTAAGGCAGCGTCTGAGTAATACTGCATATTCTACGGGCATGTCGTTTTCTTCCAGCCTTCTAGTTACAATTGAGATGCAGTCTTCAACAGGTAAGCATGTAAACAATGACTGCACATCAAAACCGACCATAGTTTCATTGTCTGCCAGATGTGGGTCTTTAATCTCGCTGACAAAATGGTAGGAATCCTTTATGTGTGCTCTTGTATGTCCCTATCGAATTTATAGCGTTAAAGAACCTACGCAATAAACCAGAACTTACGATCCTTTGGGGAATGGAAAAATCTAATGAACGAGGTAAGGTTTTAGTTGAATATTTATTTATCACTGACCTAACCATTTTAAACACTGGTTCTGAACCAACCGTCATAAATAAACGCTATCACACAATAATCGACCTCTCTTATCTCGACTTGCAACAGAAGGAGCAGCTAAACTAATAACGGGATGGCATGTGTTGAAAGAGGCCTCATGCTCAGACCACAGATAGATCTGCTGCGTACTACAGGTCGATATCCCCGCCATACCACCGTGGAGAAATCCTCGCAAGACGGATAAAACAAAATACCTCAATAGGCTGACGTCTTCTATCGCGGGTGTTGGGGGAACTAATACCATAGCAGATCGATCGCTCCTAGAGGAACAGGTAGCAGCTGTTATTAAAGCCATGATCGATAGCTACCATGAATCATGTTCAGTAATCACTCCACCAAAACATGCTGAGCAAAAGCAACCGTGGTGGGGTAAAGAACTAGACAGGAAACGTAAGAAGGTAAGAAAACGGCACTTCTACAGCTTGGGGGTAAAGTCCTAATAGTCAGACTTGTTGCCATAATGAGAGCATGTCTCGCTCTTAAACATGGGATGGAGGGAAGTGAAAGTCACGTTCATACCCAAACCAGGTAAGAATGACTATACAGACCATCGATCACTAATAAAGAACTAGATGCACAATCCCATACAAAAGTTCTCTAAAAACTGTCCCCAATTGTTGTGATGTAACTCTAGTCGAAATAAATACACATTTATGTAAATTCAACCTTAAATACATTGCCTATAGTTGTATTCACAAAGATACGTACGAAAAGCAATAAATTTTTATGACTGATACTGGCTGGTCAACCTATATCAAAACAAATTCAACCTTACACGCGTGTTTTAAAGTCAGAATTACAAAGTGCTAGTAAAAAGGAATCAAATTTTACGACCGAAGCTCGTAGTTTAGACAAGGAATCATTGGAGTCGAACTGCTCAATATTTTTTGTTACCGTTATTTTAATTTTAAAATGTTTCAAACTTATTTTAAAAACTGGAGT